CAGCATTCAACCAACTGCAAGCAAATTGCAACTTTTAGTTATTTTCTGAATGTTAATAATCTATTTGTTGGTTGTAAAAACAACAAATGGTAAATTAACAGAAAATATTCCTCGAAACTAATTCAAATGCATATCATAATGATACCATAATTCAAATTAATATAGCAATTTCGAAAAATATTCAAACTGTTTGATGTGAAATATTGAAAGGAATTGGTGTTTCAAATGTTATTGAACATGGACTGTATGTCACTGAAGTTCTATAGATGATATACAAACATGCTGATAATTTCTAATCTATCTTGTCAAAATGCAATGGATATGTTCGTGCTACATCCCAGTAGGTCATCATTCCTATTGAATTCCTCTTTTGAGATTGTTAATATTTATGATATCTCGTAAAAATAAACAAGTACATGTGATCGTGTAACGGTACGAAACAGTCTCGTCCTACAGCTGTCACCAACAGGCTTACAATTTCTCTTCGGTTGAAGCGATCTGTTAGAACATTGACTATCAAGGAAGGGTGTTGGACGGTCGTTTTGATGATACTTTCCTTCAAATTATTTATTGATATTTACCCGTGATTTAACATGTGGTATTACAAAGTGAAACATTCTATTTAGTTACGAGTAAATAATTCCACTCTTTCAATCAGGTACGTCAATCCTGATGTTTACGTCGGCTGAAGCCTTTCATGTGACCATAGAAAACACATTTGGAACAATGTTGATACAATGTTGTGAATCTGGCGTGGTTTTCAGGGGTAATGAAATGACGTTAAGACAGATTGATTACATACATCGTGTAAGGATTATACATGGCACATTAGCCCCAGTCATCATATATAAGTACGTGACTTCTCGAAATAGATGTGTCAATGTCTGTTTACAGTTACTTTGTGTCCCTGTCTAGAATATTTCGGTTTCTTCCACTTTGAAATGAATCTGTTTTCAATTCGTGTAATTTGTTTGCAAAAATGAATAGGAATGAAAAACGATACAGAAAATAGTACTGTTTGTACAAATGAAAGATAGCTAATAGTTTGTTCATATTTTTTATACAACGAAATCCTAGGTGTGGTTATATTAGGAAAACTAATTATGTAAAGGTAGGAAGGTACACAAATCCAGACTCTTTACACCCGTGTCATGCGTGCAATACATCGATATAAAATATAAGCATTAATTTGCCGACAGAGGATTTTTGTTCAATATTATGCTCATACGTCATATGCATACCCAATTAAGTACCCAAATGTGATGATTGATCAACCTGCATTCTTCACCAATGTCAGTGTTGCTAAATGCAAGTGTAATTTCACTGCTTGTCTTGATAACATTTGCCTGGGCTCCTTTCAATTTACGTCTGTATGTTCTTGGCACTTGCCTACCAGAGCCAGCTCCGACAGGTTCTCGACATTGGAACAACACAGCACTGATAGCGTTTGAACTTTACATTTTGCGTCATCATAAGATTGATGATGGTGATAACTGCGGTTAATATCCTGTGATTGTTCATTTCGATGTCATTTTCTCAAATTCACATCTTCCAACTCACTCCAATAATGTATGTAATATTTGTGAAGATTAGACGTATGAGATCCCATTCATTAGTATGCCTCATTTCGTCTTAAGTAACCTTGTTCTCATTTTTGGAACCTGACATTACATAAAGCAACCGACTTCATCTTGTCGGGAAACATCTGTACATTGCATTTTAATTTACTATTTTGTTCTACAGTATCTACTCATTATTTGTGCTGAAATATACTATCCCATTGTCTGTCTTATGAACAATCATCATGTACGTTTTAATAGTGGCTTTATTTTGCCCATGCTTGTGTCACTGTCCTTGCCTCTTAAAGAGAAAATACTTGACATTGGATTGGTATGATTGAGTAAAAAACTCCAATAAAGGTTTACTAAACGGATGGAAATATGAAATAAAAACGAAAATATTAGAGGAAAAAGTCGTAAAGTAACATATGTAAACAGCCAAGTGTTCTTGTTAATAAAACTCTCATTTTAAGTGTTATTAACTATTGATATTTAAAACTTGATTCTGGTTCTTAGCCTGATAAAACCATAAATGTCGTTAGATTAACAGGTAAACCCAGCTCTTAGTACAGAGGGATAGAATAGTATTGTAATCTTCATTTTGCATTGACATCACTTCATAGAAAGACTCGATACTTTCAAACCCTCTAATAAAATCTTAATATTCTTAATTTATCTTCTTTATAAATCTTATACTTATGCTTTGTATTTCTGTTGCGTTTTTATATATAAACGTCTCAAACTGTTTCATCAAACACTGCTACGGGATTAGCAAGCTCCTTATTTATCTTGGTCGTCTTACCGGACAATGTTAGAAGTTTGGCAATTGATTGATGTGATTTTGTAACAAAATGCTTTGCCTTACGTTAAAGATAACAGGGATATACATATTTTTGATCTCGAATAATCGTTTACCCCAGACATTGTTACTGGTTGTAAAAATATTTAAGGACACACCTACTGTCTGTCTCCTACTGAGTATACAACAAAAGTTAGGTGAAATAGACATGTGGAATTCTGATACGTTATTAAGTCGTCGGTATTATGTCTGATGAATGGGAACATATGAATGCTTACGTTTATATTTCTTTGACAGTACGAGTAGTATATAACGAAGTGAAAGTGTAACCATGATAATTCAGTTCTTTTAATCGGAATTCCCAAATCTAATTAGCATCTTCACATAAAAACATTAAATACATAACAACAATTTACAGGATTATTGAATCCTATGTTTCGTATTCAATCAGACACATATACACGTGCGCTGAGATGCCGAAAATAGATATATCAATAAGTTGTACACTATAACTTGTCTTGTCCTCCTTCAAAACCTAGCACGACCTTAACAATAAAACATAGCTACAGGGTAATGCGGGATGTCAACTGCCTGTTGTAGTATATCTCTGTCCCAAATGTTCCACTCATAGAGACATTAGAAAGTTAAACTCGCATACAATTCTTCTGGACAACTGTGATAACGAGTGCTTTCTATATAATTGACATACAGGAATCCGCTTATTAAAATAGAAATCAGGACAAAAAGGGCCATAACTCTTGAATAACAATGGTATCAATATTCCAATGTACCTTTCCAACTATATATTGAGAGAGAAGAAGTCTAGCTGTTACTCGAGTAAGATAACAGGCGATTATATAGACATCGCCATATTTTAAAACTGATCGTCGAGGCCAAGTATTGCGGGCTCTGTCAAGTAAAACACAGCAATGACACTACATTATTGGTATCCACACCTGGTACATATATCTACCACAGCACAGTTCCACCTTGTCACGCGAGAAATGGCTCTATATCTCCTACCTCTGACAGCTATTATGCTTCATCTGTGTGTCTATTAAGACATAATGCACTATGGTGTGAACTTATTAACAGATCAAGCGATAATTTCAGATCAGGCGAACAGTACACATAGATATCATCTGCTCATGACTATTCAGAGTAGTCCGTGCTTCTGGTGATTAGAACAAAAGAACACAATAGGTCATTAACAACTAGAGAGCCTGCCTAAATTTAAATCTCAAAAGGTCAAGATTTATGCCCTCTGTAGATTATCATTTTAAGTCTTGACATACCAAAAACTGGTATTTGAGGCAGAAGACATAGGCGTTCAATGGTTCATAGGGGGTTGTCCAAATAAACCGTCCACCTCACTGGTGTCAATATCTGAAATCTAATATAAAGTTCTGAGATGTAATTTATCACAGGTAACACTGTTTCTATCGATCCAGTATGGTGTTGTGAAATATCAGGGCCGTAATATGGCTAATTATCATATGCTGATATCAGCTTTTTGCCCTTTCATTCCTTTAGATAATGCTGTACGCTAAATATAAAATGTTGTTCAAGATACACTGATATTGATATTTCAATACAAGACGTTTTAATAGAGACCTATATAGGAAATCGTATCATAGTTAGGTCTTCTATTATTTTGTAGTTGGATTTCCGTTTTCCGTCTTTTCTTCTTTTTGAATAACAGTGTTTCACTAATTATCGTTAAGTTAAATTCTGATTTTAAAACGGTATTAGATAGAGCATCTGATAACCAAACTGAGCCAAACAGATGCTATGTCCTTCTAAGTTGTACAAAAGACAAAGAAGCGAATAACACCTTTTAATATAAATTTGGAGTTAGATTCAGTGTAGCCGAACAATGTTCTTCTATGACTCGTTAATGATGCTAAGGGTTTGAAGTGTTGGAATCTAGCGGAGAGCAAGGTAAACCAGGACCTATCGAAGCCAGTGTTAACATACAGATCAAAGCAATCAAGTGTAGTCAGTGATAGTTGTACAGGTTTTCTGAAGGTGACGTGATAGGTAAATCTTCACTCAAACATTATAGGATACTCGAGTTTATAGGCCGGATAATATACGACCGTATCTATAATTCTATAAATCCGACAAATCTGTGTATTTAGACAGAACAGATACCGTCCGTTAAACCCCTCGGATCGACGAGGACGCAGGTGTAAATAGGGAGAAAACACAACGCGTTACGTGTGTCATACACCACTCGGGTGGTATATTTACTATTGATTACAAAGTGTAAACATGTCAACTCTGTGTTTCTGCTGTGTACCATTTTAGCGTGAGGATTCACTTATGTCAGTGATAGAAGTGTATCCCTGATACTATGTCCTATTGATTTCAGACAGGTCTTTCGGTAAACACAGTAGGTATGATAAATTTTGATAAGGCAGGGTCAAAGAAGACAATACCCATACGTCGATGTATAAATGGCCAAATGTCTCACGTTTAATCAAGACAAAACAGACATCAATAGGTTTCCACAAGTCAGTTCATCTCGTGGATTGGAAGTTTTCATACTTGTTTTAGCATCTTTCATAATACCTTTAGTACCATAATGTAGCTGATCTTTGTCGTGCCCAATATTTCAGCTAATGTTGTTCTCGTTTCAGTGGATTTCTAAGCAGGCGGCCACAGACGTCTTACTCTGATCATCGGTTTGCCCCGTCCCCACGGATACGGTCAGCAAGCTGTAAGCCCGACCCCTCCGCCATGCCCCGATCACACGTCAGTATAGCACGATTTTACGATTGGTCAGAAGACCTTGGTGACTGTGTGTCCGTGTCAAAATTTTACAGGGACCTCGCTGCCGTACAACGTAATGGAACCGACAGGTTACGTGGTAGGACGCCGTGGTGTTCAAACGGTGTCCGCGTGAGTCCTGGAAGGATGTTTCTGAGAGACAAAGCAGGACTCACAAAGGGAGAAAAAGACATCATCGAAGGCATCTACCGTAACAGAGGAGATGTGTTAAAGGACGAGACACAACAAGTCACTACTAAAGACGAGTGGCAACTCGTGAAAAGTCATAAAGACGCTTGGTTGGTGGGTAAATCGGTACCCAAAAATGGGGTCCGTTCCGATGGAATCCGTGCGGATTCTTCCGTTGATCTGAAACTTCCAGATAACTTGTTCAGTCGGTCTGTGGATGTGAGTAACAATTCGGATAGTATGAATCAGTCGACAATTGCGGAAACAAATAGTGAACCAGTGAAAGAGGATGACGTTCTTGTAGCTCCGCCATCGACTCCAGACAGAGAGCTTACGAATGGCACTTTTTCGGATAATTCTTCGTCAGCTAACAGCAGAAATCGGACGGTATATCGGTGCGGAGAAAGATCGGTTATGAATGAGTCTGACAATATACTGGCCAAGAGCCAAACGTTCAAATTAGAATCCCCCGAACCCCAGAAACGGAAAGTTTTTGTCAACGTATTTCTCCCTCAAAGTTCCCCGGAATTACTGCATGATCGCACGCGCTCCTCCTTGGATAAAGATCGAAGTTCTTTGACAAGAGGAAGTGTGCGACGAGACGGTACGAGATTCTCGCGATATACCGGTGACAGTTTTGTACCATCCATTTCTTATTCTGAACCGCGTAGACACCAGCGTGGACTTGCGGGCACAGTCAGTTCCGTAGGTGACTGAAAGCACTTGTCTGTGAAGAGATTGGTAGGTCTGCAGTGTGCACCACCTGATTGATAACTGGTGATCAGTACATCTGTGTTGTTTCGTCGTTGAACGATTGAAACAAAACCGTGATTGGATGTTCTAACTTGTTATCAAATTACACGATGAAACATGGAGTACTTGACAGAAGCTGAATTGGATTTGTTCCTGTGACGTTACATCACGTTGTTTATAGAATATGTATGAATAGAGTATATACTACTGGTCTTATTTATAGTACAAAGTGAGCCTGTGGATGTGATATATATATTGTTATACAATAGATGGACGTAAGAGTTTCTCCATGGTGTAGTTAAGTTATTGTTTGCCAGTCACAGACAATGTTATAGAAGGGATGGATGGTGCTACATATTGCTATAGGGATATGTCCCGCCGATTCAGTGATTGTTTTTAAATCTCTGTGATAACTGTCCCGCTGATTCAGTGCTGCTGAATTAGACTTGTATGTAAATCTATGTGATAACTGTCCCTCTGATTCAGCGCTGCTGATTTAGACTTGTATGTAAATCTATGTGATAACTGTCCCTCTGATTCAGCGCTGCTGAATTAGACTTGTATGTAATTCTGTGTGGCTAGTATCTCGTTGATTCAGCGCTACTGGGTTAGACTTGTATGTAAACCTCTGTGATAACTGTCCCGCTGGTTCAGCGCTGCTGATTTAGACATGTGAGTAAATCTCTTTCCCGGTATTTCATGTACTCTTATCCATATTTCATTATCATGCAGTAGATTTGCTCTATACATTCCAGTTCCAGCCATGAATCTGACTAATAATACATAGATAATACCGATATGTAACGTGCAATAACTTACATGCTGACGTCTCTCCTTAAGCCTTAGAAATCATACATCACGTACATACAGCGTACAAATAGTCCCTATTAGATTCTCCACGAAGAATAAAACATTTCCAGTAAAGAAGCCATTTTTACAGTTTGTGGGATAACCATCAAGATATACTTTCATTCTTGATGAAATATCTACACTTTAACGGTCGACTTTAAATTCATCCGTGTTCTTTCTCTGACAAACACTATTGGGAGCTTTGGAGAACTCATTAATCATTTCCCACAACAGTTTTAAAGGATAACGCGGATTTTTTTTTGTATTACAGTTTGTTGTTATTTTTTTGTCCTGTTTGTCCCTTACATCGTGTGGCTTATTTGTCTCTTACATCGTGTGACTTATTTGTACCTTACATCGTGTGACTTATTTGTCCCTTACATCGTGTGACTTATTTGTCCCTTACATCGTGTGACTTATTTGTCCCTTACATCGTGTGACTTATTTGTACCTTACATCGTGTGACTTATTTGTCCCTTACATCGTGTGACTTATTTGTCCCTTACATCGTGTGACTTATTTGTCCCTTACATCGTGTGACTTATTTGTACCTTACATCGTGTGACTTATTTGTACCTTACATCGTGTGACTTATTTGTACCTTACATCGTGTGACTTATTTGTACATTACATCGTGTGACTTATTTGTCCCTTACATCGTGTGACTTATTTGTACCTTACATCGTGTGACTTATTTGTACCTTACATCATGTGACTTATTTGTACATTACATCATGTGACTTATTTGTACATTACATCGTGTGACTTATTTGTACCTTACATCGTGTGACTTATTTGTCCCTTACATCGTGTGACTTATTTGTCCCTTACATCGTGTGACTTATTTGTCTCTTACATCGCGTGGCTTATTTGTCCCTTACATCGTGTGGCTTATTTGTACCTTACATCGTGTGACTTATTTGTCCCTTACATCGTGTGACTTATTTGTCTCTTACATCGTGTAGCTTATTTGTCCCTTACATCGTGTGACTTATTTGTCCCTTACATCGTGTGACTTATTTGTACATTACATCGTGTGACTTATTTGTCCCTTACATCGTGTGACTTATTTGTCCCTTACATCGTGTGACTTATTTGTACCTTACATCGTGTGACTTATTTGTCCCTTACATCGTGTGACTTATTTGTCTCTTACATCGTGTGACTTATTTGTACCTTACATCGTGTGACTTATTTGTCCCTTACATCGTGTGACTTATTTGTACATTACATCGTGTGACTTATTTGTCCCTTACATCGTGTGACTTATTTGTCCCTTACATCGTGTGACTTATTTGTACCTTACATCGTGTGACTTATTTGTCTCTTACATCGTGTGACTTATTTGTCTCTTACATCGTGTAGCTTATTTGTTTAAGATGTATATCCACTTGATCAAATATATGATATATGATTTTTTAGAATATCTAAAAGTGTCTATGGAATCAAAGTCTTCATATCGCATCCCTGATACCTGATACCGGTAAATCTAATTTTAGTTTCAGAAATCATGGCAAAGTTTCACAAACTCTGACCACCATCAGTGTGGTTAGTGCGCAGCTATTTAAAGGTGTTTCAAGACATCCATATTAATGTGATGGTGATCACTACTTATCATGATAAATCTGTCAAAACGATCGGCCTATCTACAGTATTATTGTAATTAAACAGTTGTTATTATAAAACAAAGATATCGAAGAAGATGTTCATAACGATGCATATAATAGATAAACAATGAACACAGATCATTGTATATGACCTCTAACAGTTCTCAGATATTGTTCGTTTTATTTCATTCGTCGTTAGCTTATCGTGCCATGAATTATAAAAGATTAACTCTTTTTTTGTTGCATTGAACTGAATATTAGTAACACAGGATATAAGTAAGAGGTCACGTGTTTAGGATGTCACGTGAGCGAGATTCTGTGTCATGCTAGACTGTTTTCGTTGTTGATGTTTATATTTGTTATTTATTTATGAAAATCTATTTATATGTGAATTGCATACAATGCATTGTTCACATGTCGTTGAAGAATATCACATTCAGAAGCACGTGTCCCACGACTTGGTTTGGTAAACACACCATGTATGTTTTATGTATTGACCTGCACTCACCTTTGACCTCGTGGTCTGTATTGCTACAAAATAACTTGTGAATATGTTTAATATCAAAACAATACGGAAGTGTTATGTGGATTCAATGCATCATGATGGCCATACACTGTTAAAAACAGGTGTCAGTATCCTGGAAAACCACAACTGTTTTCCAACTACGATTAGGCAGATCGCTGAGGATATGAATGGATATTATTTAATAGATGACCTTTCCATGACCTTCCCTCCTCTGTTTCCTCTGATTCGTTCAGTTAATTGTGATCGTGAATGATGTTGCACAGTGATGTACTTTGACGAAATTAAAAGTCTACGCAAATTTATAAGATTTTGAATTGTTGTTCAATTGATGAAAAATCGAAGACGACAGGCCAAAAATTCTAGAGTGAAATTCCGAAGATTGTAATTACGCTATGGTGAACTTGTTCATGTTAAAATATATGTACAAACACGTATTGTCATGACCATTATATTCTAAATATGCCTTGTGCTTTATTACCTAGCACATATAGTTTCTTTGTAAACGATATAGAAATTAATTTTATTTCTTAATTTTCAATTTAACGATACTGAACTTTTTTTCATTATCATATTGTCACACTCTAATATGTCAATATCATTCTCCTTTCGAAATCCTAACTTCCCTTATCGCGATGTGTCATGCCAGGAAGAATAGACGTCAAATGATACAAAAAGGCAATAATTTATTTCACTTTTTATAATTACCAGGAGGTAGATATAAATTGTAAATTGATTCTGCTTAATTGTAGGAATAATATAACAGGAATGTTTCCTGCAGAGGAGCACTTTCTCGCGCGCGCACAATGGTTCTTTCCGACAGTTAGGGTGAAATGTTGATTGATTGTATATAGAACATAAAGAATATCTTAACAATGACAGTGTGACATGGATACTACAAAGACCTGAAGTAATGTAATCTACATCAATAAATGATGAATGAAATCCATATCCGATTGTTCGACCACATTCAAATGAAAGTCGTTATTGGATTCTGAAGGCTACCTGTTGGTATTCTACCTGGGGACGTCTAAATTTCCCGACACATCAGATGTAATACAATAATTGTTAACGAAACCCAGTCCTTAAAAATGTGGATTGAATTAAAAGCGAAATAACGTACTAGAGCAAGGTGTCAGGGGGGTTTTCCATTGTTTCGGGTGACTTTTGTGAACATTTTAAGACGGAAATTTAATCAAACGCACAAACGTTCGATATCTGAGAATGAGTTCAATCTTTAGATTAGAATCTATATTCAATCACCATACAGGAAAGCAATTACATTAGTATTGTGTCACCGCAATGTTACGTAGAAAAAGGTTTATAATTATACTGAAAATATCGCTTATAGTTCAATACAATAGCAAGTTACAAATTTCTTTAAACATGATAATTAACAAGAACTAAACATTTGTAACACTTTGACATAAATATGATTAAAATACCGTCAACTTCATTCTGTCCTTTTTCAAAATGACTTATAATTTTGTGCCTTTGAAGCAATAATTACATGATTTTCAATGAGATCCAAGCTCTCAATAGAAAATAGTTTTACAAAGTGGTTGTAGTATATCACAATGACACCCGCCCTAAATAATCATTGATTGTGGCAGAAGTATGTTTGTGTCAAGCTACGCGCCGATACTTTAGCAATTCTTTCAGCTAGGCGGTGTCCGATTCATTTGCTGTCTGGTATTCAGCTTTTCTAAACATACGTGTTTGTGCTGCCGTACATTACACATATTGGATGTTTGATGTTACTACAGATTATTTGGATGTTCTATCCTAGGAGCTTTGCAGAATAGAATGACTATTCTACTGTACATGTACAGTTATCTGTACAAATGCTAACCATTCACCAGAATAGAATACCATTCAAGAAAATACAAGTCACATGGTACTACAACGTTGATCACGTGACTTTTACAGATTGATCTGAACACAAAAGAATAAAGTAGTATGTACAACAATGTTGGTTAGACCTAAGAAACAAACCCGCGTGCTCTTCAAAGTTGACGCATCTAGTTAAGACCAGCTGTAGTCTTTCCACATTTGTTCCGATATCTCCTCAGTTCTCCAGTACTGAGAATGTAAGATTTTTGGAAACGTTTCAGTACACTACACAACATCATCGTTTAGAATGACTCGTATTGCAGAAACAATAGACAACCAGTCAGAGTACAGAAGATTCCAGAGAAAAAAAAGGCAAACGCTGAGAAAACGTCTATTTAACACTTCAAGTAAAAAAGAAAATGTCAAATTAACGGAAGTCCATGTTTATTGTTTAATGAACCTATTTTAAACTTAGAAATTGTTTCTATAAAATGCAGGGTTTTATAAACCGTACCTGAGCCATGAAAGGTGTTACACTGTTTGAAGGTCAAGGGCGAGTCATTGCAGGTAATGTTCTTTACAAGAACAGCAAAGAAAATACCTACATTTACGGAATAATAATTCAAAGACAATTTGAATAAAACTATGGCAAACTATGAACGAAAGAAAGATTTACATGAAGATTAATGAAAACGTACAACCAAGATAAGACCATGTATTCCGGAAGGGTAAAGGTTTTGTGCTTCATCGCGGACACCCAACCATGTAAATCTAGGTCAATTAAAGTAAGTGGTGTCACGTTCCCAAATGAGAACTAGGTAAACAATTACGGAACCACCTCATGAACCAACGAGCATGTGACACGCCCAGCTTCATATTACACACAGAAATATAAAACGTCTCTGTGAGATCACTATGACGATCGTGGAAGTTCCTCGTAATTTGTTTACGTCATCATGCCCGAAAATCGTGTTTCGTAAGGTCTTCGTGACCTGTTTTCATAAGCTCTGTTATAAATTCAGCCTCGGATGGAAAACATTTCTTTATATGTATATATATCTGTCTAAAGTCATAGACTTGTAAACGTCTTCTCTCCTACAGAGTAATAAATACATCAGTGAAAATCAATGTTGACAGTGCAAACTCCACTGCACAAACCATCAATTCCTGGAACAAAATGTGAAAATAAAATCCGAAGATGTCATCCATTTATTCCTACAAAACTAAACATTGACCATATCTGATGGGTGCCGTGAAGGAAAAGTTGTTTTCAGGTAGCCATGGAAACAATTTGAAGGTTTCTTCGTCCTGTAACCTCTGTATCACGCAGTTGCTATAGATCTTGGAAATCTTGGTGTTAATGCAGTTACCTTTGAGGTATATCGAAGATCTTGTCCCTGTTTGTTTTCTTTGTGTCGTTATATAATAAAGAGACTGTATGTTCCATGCAAGAGTTAAAGTAATTTGAAACTTTCCTCATTTTGCAAAAACGGGAAAAGGGTTTTGCTTTTTTTTCTGGATTATTTTTGTTTTAATTCGTTCAAGATTTCAGTCAAACCCGAGTTTCTGATCCACTTTGTAATAGAAAACACTTTTGAGAGGTAAGAGGACTTTGATAATACTTAAAGAGAAGTCCTGTCTAGGATTTTTATTTAAATCAACTCTATTCAATTATTTGTCAAAAGTTTTGGTCATGTTGAACTTGTTGACCTTGTAGGTATATCAAAGAGTATAATCAGGTTGATCTCGATTAGGGAAGGCATAACCTTGGAATTAAGTATCAAATTTCCCTTCATTAAAATATAGGCCTCTTTTGATCAGTAATAGCACGACTTGTAGGATATCATCATTTATCATGATATACATGGCCTGTTAATGAGGTAACGCTCGAGGAAGCAGTAGTGACCAGTAGGTGACAATGATGATGGAGTGACTCGCCACACTGACAGCTTTATAACCCACAGTATGTCATTTATCATTGTGAACAGACCGCCTGAAATTGACTGCTGATTAGAAGCATAATCTTTGATCTAGTATACATTGGCCGATCCCAGCATGGACTACTTTTTTCAACGAGCCATAAGCAGAATATAGGTGATATTCCAGAACACTTGTTTCACATAGCTTGGCGCATAAAACATGGCACTGAGAATTCGATTTCACTGAAAACACCAATATTTCTAGACACAATTTCTCATTTAAACTAGATATACCGCTGTGTGCCTTGGTTTTTTAGCCTTGTTTCACACACAACTAAATGTAATTGACAATGAATTACACGTGATGAAGGGAAATCATTGAAGTGTTTCTGATTGCAAACCATGCACGTACTGCTGTATAGTTTGGTTGTGACAAGATTGTAATTTATTTTGGCTTTTGCTGAGAGCATTGAATCCTAGCGACAACAAAACATCTGTGATTGAATTAAATGCCATTATTGTTACTTTTGTAGCAATCAAGGATTACCATGTTGTGACGTTTGAATAGCGAACAAGATCGCAAAATATCCGGTAAAGCCGTATGTTGATGTGGTTAGCAACACAGCCTCCGTTCTTTCAACCGCATTACATATCGTTCTAAATGGTAAGGAGTGTTCAACCCTAAAAACTTTACAGTGGACGGGAACACATGAACACTTTTGACTCTCGATAATGAAATAAAGATGGACGGACCGACCATAATTTGCTTTCTGGCTGATATAACCTAGCCTTTTTTTAGGTCTGTATCAATATCTGCAGGTCTATATTGACGATGATTATCACTGGAATCTCCCACAGAGCTAAGCCAGTAACGAAAAAAATAAAGAAACATGACAAAATAATCACGATTCAAACTCAAATTCCATAAAACAAGGACAAATATGAACAAAAGAAATAAAGAAAGTACAAGGAGAATGAGACCATGTATTCCGGAAGAGTAAGCGTCTTCTGCTTTACCGACGACATCCGCCAAGTAAACCATGGTTAAACCGTAAGTAATGTCACGTTCTCAAATGAGAATAATGTATACAACAACGGAACCAACAAACAAACTAACGAGCATCAAATACGTCCAGCTTCCTGGTGCAGAAAGAAATAGAATATTTCTCAAAACGAATCAACTGTGACATGTAGATACCATAGGTTGGAGATGCAGGAATACTGCTATACTGAAATGGAAACTTCACCATAGGGAGATTGAAATCATCACGTTCACCTTTGATAGTTACCTAGTACATGTAATAAAATACAACACAGTGACATCTGTTTGTCATCATTTAATGATACTGATATGAAATCACATTGTAGTAATGGTCACGGGTGGTAACAATGTGATTGTTAACAAAACTTAAATAAGAGACACTTTATGGTACAAAAATACAAACTACACATACTAAGTCTATAATCATCTCCAAGGATTGTAAGCATCACACTGGCACTTAACCCTTGTATAGCTAGACAGGATCAGGAAGATACGGAAATCAACCAGAGAGGATATCAGTGAATATCAACACAGTGTTAATTTTAACTAAAAACTTAATTTAGAACCTTCGAAACACCAGCATTTTTTCTCAATAACAACAAAAGTCTTTTTAGCATTTACAAATTATAATTTTAGAGTATCTTCCAAATCCTGACTAGATTGTAGAAAATAGAGAAGTTGCAGTGTGATTCTAGCAAATAATCTTAACAACAACAACAAAGGTTTATGTTCTGTTATTGCACAGAGACACAACTTTGGGGACCAATATCAGTTTGCATGATATACAAGGGGAGATAACTTGGAGTAAATTTGTACATCTGACACAAAGCAAACTGACAAATAAGTATCTATTGAATAAAAGTATCTTAGAAACAGATGAAAGATTAAATGTTTTAGAAAGATTTCTCTAAGAAAAGATGATTAAGTTAAAATAGGATCTATATAACCAGTATTTAAGCAATCAAAAATTAAAGTGTAAGAAGAAATGCAGCATTCTATATTGATTTATATTCTATGTAACAAGTAACAAATTTAAAGAAATGTTTTAACATTAACAAATTTGAACATGATTAAAAACAAGTACAGAATAATAAAAAAAATTCAAATTATCTTACTTTGCTCTACTCCACTAACCCTTTCTTTACTGCTTATCTTCTGGTTCATCCAAGCCTTGTATTTATTGTGTTTCTTGATTTGTAAATAACCACTGGTATCGACAGTAGATTTTCTGTAGATATGGTTAAGTCATCAATAGCCGAATGTTTCTGTACAGTGCACAGACTTTTTTCAATCCCAAAATGAAAGACTTTACAGTATTTACATGCAACATGTGTCTCAACTGGATAAAGGAAAAAACTGAGCTTCAATAATGTTCTGAGAATCACACAAACTATATAAGTTATGTGATGTAGGTTATACTTTGACAGTCGTAATAGAACTGTCTGTTAGTGTATGTATTGTTATCAAAACCTGGCTATGTTCAACATGTCTCAACTCTTACCTGGTAAAAGACACAAGTATTTCATACAATTGGCTTAATAGATATAAACACACCTTTGAAAATGTTTTTGTTATCAAGAAATGGGGAAGATATCTATGTCAGAAGCTGATATCAACAGGTCATAAAGTGGCACAGCTTCTTAACCACCAGTATCCCTGGCCAGCAGGAATTCTACAAGGTTTGTAATGTAGGTATGTGGCAAAGATAATACTCATCGTTAATTTATTTAAATATTTAGACTTTTGAAATGTGATGTACTAAAATAAGGTAAATTTGTAGGTTAAAAAAAATCATTAGAAATTATTCTTTAGCATTTTTTACAAGTTCATACATACAGATATAGTATAAGATTCTATTTCTCAAGTTCTTCTTAATCAATATGTCTATGAACACTTCTTTTGTGCAAGTTAATTTTTAGAGAAATATTGATTTCAACACAATTGAATGTAGATATTGGGATAGGGACTACAACTATTCACACCTATCAATAATGGACATACATTTAAAAAAAATTCACTTCTTGGATGAAAAACTGAGAAAAGAAAATATGCAAAACTTAGAAAAGAATATTAGCACTTTGAAAATTAGAAATCTTTGTTACTTCAAATAATAAGGAAAGCTGTCAGCTTTGGAATTAACATTTTGAGTTAAAAATCCTGCATGTAAAATATACAGGGATTACAGGTAAGTCTCCTCTAGGGTAGGGTCATCATACTGCACTGGTCCTGTGTCCGCGGAAATACCTACAGCAAACGTCTGGAAAGTATAAAGTGGAGCCGTAAAGATCCGACTTAACCCAACCTCTTCATAAGAAAATTTTGATATGTTGAAAAATGATTTTGTTTTGCATTCTCCTGATTTTGGGAAACAACATTAACATAGAAAGATGTGTGTTGATTCTGTTATAATAATCTGCATGTATTCCAAACTATTCGGCCTACATATATATGTTTCCCAATCTCATCATCTCAATAAAATCGGGCATAAACTTGATTCTCCTATCGTCAACTTGACATGACCTTTAACCTCTAACAGTAGATGTATCTAAGAGGGAGTAGCAATTATCATTTATATCCCAGTGTCATGATATACATAAATACGGCATACTTTCTTCTGTCAATAAATTTCCTTTCGGAATCTGTTTGTTCACACTTCCAAGCCTAAGAAAAATGCATTTACATTAATTTCTTTGACAGTCTATGAACTTAGAATAAGAGGTACGCTTTTCTTGGTGGACCAGTTGGAATTTTGATATAAATGAAACAAGATAAAATATTGACAGAAAAATTCAAGCCAAAAATTAACACCTTCCTTCACAAAATGTTGCCAAATATGTCCATAGGTGATGTTTATCATGAAACTGTTGCATATATTGATACATGTATTCCAGAGATTACATTTAATCATGTTCACAATAAAATCATTAAAAAATGTATGTTGTTAGTGTTTCAATGCCATTTCCAATACCTCAGAACCCACATGCACAGGAAGGAGACAGCCATCTACAGAGACAATTCACCCCTAATCTTCAATTTAAATTCTGAATATCATAGTCAAAAAGCTGATATAGGTTCAGCAAACAAAACCAGAAAAATGGAGGTACAGAGCTTTATAGGGGACACAAATCTCACCTTATGGCAGGGATTTAAAAAAAAAGCTATATTGCCTGACATATAAAAAGTTAAATATCTTATTATAATTAATTGTTGTAGAAAATATCTGGAGACAACATCAAGACTTATCTTGTTGACTTGTGAGGGGGTGTTATAGTTTACGGGAGAGGAGGAGCATGTCCAGGGAAAACAATCGCTGTGGAATAAAGTGGCGAGAATGCTGCTGGGTGGCTGGATGATAAAGTTAGAGTGATCACTGCGTGCAGAAGTCCGGCTGATATAGAGTTTCCATGCTGATTATGCCTCCATGCATCACGTGTACCTTAAACAAGGAGTGTAACATATACATCACTGTGATATACACACGTATCGTCAACACGGAGTGTAACATATACATCACTGCGATATACACACGTATCGTGTAACATATACATCACTGTGATATACACACGTATCGTCAACACGGAGTGTAACATATACATCACTGTGATATACACGTATCGTTAACAAGGAGTGTAACATATACATCACTGTGATATACACACGTATCGTGTAATATATACATCACTGTGATATACACACATATCGTCAACACGGAGTGTAACATATACATCACTGTGATATACACATGTATCGTGTAATATATACATCACTGTGATATACACACGTATCGTGTAATATATACATCACTGTGATATACACACGTATCGTCAACAAGGAGTGTAACATATACATCACTGTGATATACACGTATCGTTAACAGGGAGTGTAACATATACATCACTGTGATATACACGTATCGTTAACAGGGAGTGTAACATATACATCACTGTGATATACACACGCATCGTCAACAAGGAGTGTAACATATACATCACTGTGATATACACACGTATCGTGTAACATATACATCACTGCGATATACACGCATCGTCAACAAGGAGTGTAACATATACATCACTGCAATATACACACGTATCGTGTAACATATACATCACTGTGATATACACACGTATCGTGTAATATATACATCACTGTGATATACACACGTATCGTGTAACATATACATCACTGTGATATACACACGTATCGTCAACAAGGAGTGTAACATATACATCACTGTGATATACACACGTATCGTCAACAAGGAGTGTAACATATACATCACTGTGATATACACGTATCGTTAACAAGGAGTCTTACCGATATCAACTCATTTGATACACCAAATCTACAGGCTTGTCCTCCTGGGTGTCACCATTATAAGGCTTTTTAATATTTCTAAAGACAAATCATCTCATAAAAACATTGACTTAAGTTCCATTTACTTTGTGTAATATTGATGAACTGCATTGTAGACTTGTTTACATTCTAGCTGTTTTCCACTACAGTTAAGGAGAGTAATTTAGCTGCAGGCTTGTTGATAACATACATGTAATGTCACCTACAGGTAAGGACTGTAATTTAGATATAGGCTTGTTGATAATCTACATGTAATGTCACCTACAGGTAAGGAGAGTAATCCAGATATAGGCTTGTTGATAATCTACATGTAATGTCACTTACAGGTAGGGACTGTAATTTAAATATAGGCTTGCTGATATCCTTCATGAAATGTCACCTACAGGTAAGGACTGTAATTTAGATATAGGCTTGCTGATAACCTACATGTAATGTCACCTACAGGTAAGGAGAGTAATTCAGCTGTAGGCTTGCTGATAACCTACTTGTAATGTCACCTACAGGTAAGGACTGTTATTAAGATATAGGCTTGCTGATAACCTACTTGTAATGTCACCTACAGGTAAGGAGAGTAATTCAGATATAGGCTTGTTGATAACCTACATGTAATGTCACCTACAGGTAAGGAGAGTAATTCAGATATAGGCTTGCTGATAACCTACATGTAATGTCACCTACAGGTAAGGAGAGTAATTTAGCTGTAGGCTTGTTGATAACCTACTTGTAATGTCACCTACAGGTAGGGACTGTAATTTAGATATAGGCTTGCTGATATCCTACATGTAATGTCACCTACAGGTAGGGACTGTAATTTAGATATAGGCTTGCTGATAACCTACATGTAGTGTCACCTACAGGTAAGGACTGTAATTTAGATATAGGCTTGCTGATAACCTACATGTAGTGTCACCTACAGGTAAGGACTGTAATTTAGATAAGATATAGGCTTGCTGATAACCTACATGTAATGTCACCTACAGGTAAGGAGAGTAATTTAGCTGTAGGCTTGCTGATAACCTACTTGTAATGTCACCTACAGGTAAGGAGAGTAATTTAGCTGTAGGCTTGTTGATAACCTACATGTAATGTCACCTACAGGTAAGGAGAGTAATTCAGATATAGGCTTGCTGATAACCTACATGTAATGTCACCTACAGGTAAGGAGAGTAATTTAGCTGTAGGCTTGCTGATAACCTACATGTAATGTCACCTACTGGTAAGGACTGTAATTTAGATATAGGCTTGTTGATAACCTACATGTAGTGTCACCTACAGGTAAGGACTGTAATTTAGATATAGGCTTGCTGATAACCTACATGTAATGTCACCTACAGGTAAGGAGAGTAATTTAGCTGTAGGCTTGCTGATAACCTACTTGTAATGTCACCTACAGGAAAGGAGAGTAATTTAGATATAGGCTTGCTGATAACTTACATGTAATGTTACCTACCGGTAAGGAGAGTAATTTAGATATAGGCTTGCCGAAATCCTGGTAAGGATGGTAATTTAGATATAGACTGGCTGTTATCCTTCATTTGATACCACCTACACTGCTAGAATTTAATTTAGCTACAGGCTGGCTGTCATCCTCAATGTTTTGAAATTTGTTCTTAAAGAGTGTAAGATATATATATAGGACCACTGTCTTCCTCAATGAATAGTCACTATATGACTAAATTTATTACTGATATACCAGGTAGGCTTACATAAGTCAGACCAAAATCACTCCTATCGATATTAATATTGTCGACATCAGGTTTGTGGTGACTGTTGTGATATATAAAGTCTACATGTGATGAGAAGTCCTGATTTTTTCACCTGTTAGGTTGTGGATTACTTCAGTAAGATCTATACCTATGTGTATAATATCAATTGTTATAGATATAGCAAAGAGAGGTTATAAAGGTGATAACAGTCTGTTTTTATAGAAATTTGTATTTTGATAGTTTGGTGTATGATTTTATTAGGATATTTACCTACAGATTCAGTATCATTGATTCAGAGAAAGTCACACCATACTCAAAAATTAAGTTTTCACTGACGTACGTAAAGTTAAGAGACTTATTTTTTGATAAAAGATATGTTACTTACAAAAGATGGACATTTTTCAATGTGTTTGCAGTTTTGCCTTTCTTTTGGTAGTGTACAAATAAATGTGATTAACACCAGGTATTTAATACATAGTCATGTCCCCTTTACTTTCAAAGGAATTATCAATGTGATTGATTACAATTCTTTCCTCTAAAACATCAATCCTGAGGAAATACAGGTTTTCTGACAAAGGTTTATTTTATATAGGTGTCTGACAAACATAGGTATGGTAGAATGAACTCTCACATATACAATCACCAGGTGTTATACAATCAAGAACAATGATATGATTTCTGTTTGCAATATGAATATCTAAACTCTTTCGATGGATTATTTTTCAAAATATGATAGATGTATAAATGGTTTTATTTATTTTTTACAAAGAAAAAGGTAAACATTAGTTTTATGGACATACATAAAGAACTGGCTACCACATCATGTTTAATCATTGTGACTTTATATACAGATTATACAAAAATCTTGTAATTTGAAAGATTGCACAATATCCCATGAACATTGGTATTTCAGAATTGCTGTATTCATTAACGTATGAACATGCGAGAAAGAAAAATATCTCTGACAGCACAAGAACTGACACAAAAATACAAGGTGAAGCAGTTACTAAAACATTCTACATATCGGACCATAGTGAACACATAAAATCATACACCACTGATATCTATCCACTCACTTCCTTTCAACTCAACATTCAATCATCAATACAGACAAATTCATTTTTGAATATTACAGTAGTAATTATTGATTTAATATCAAACTGAAGAAGATTCCAAAGTCCTAACAATATGCAATGAAGTCATTCCTTCTCAAGGCAGTCATAAGGAAAGTTTTAAAATGCAAGGGAGATAACTTTTTCAATGTTTAAAGGGAGATAAATTGATATTGTGTATAGAGGAAAATAATGCATAAAGGGAGATAACTTGTAAATATATTTGTAGCAAGTTTATATATAGGGGATATCTCTTATTACTGCATATGTGGAAAGTTTATGACAAAAGGGATATAACTTATTACCATGTATGTAGAAAATTTTTCTTTGATAGATATATATATTTATATATATAATTCTTTTAATTTGAATATAATATGCCTTGTGTAAATAAAAAAATTCAAGGATAAAATTAATCAATAACTTAAAACTTAAGTTTTACTAAAATTGATAGTTTTATATGATTTATGAACTTCAGAATTCAATTCTTTAAAAATGTCAATTTATTAGGAATTAAATGGTAAATCCATTTTGAAAATAAAAGTTCAAAGTATAAGAAGTATTCCTGAAAGTATTTCCAATAATCATGCTCTACACTGATTCCCAGTGTACAAAACCTCAGTAACCACACTACTCTAACCACTCTCCCACCGCCCCTATGGTTCTATGCATGCAATGCTGAAAATAAAATGAGCAAATGAGATACGGGATACGAGAGTGACTTTGTACTTCATACCATATTGTACATACAAAATATACATATATAGATTGTACAGTAAAGAATGTTCTTGATTACATTCAAACTCAGAAGTGAAGAAGACATTCAAATGGAAATATTTTCAAATTGTTTATTTCCTGCATATCATATTGCAAAATGAAAAAAGAAACTTATCGAAAATTATCATTGAGATTCTTGAGAAAAAATATTAACCACAATTTTTTCTGGATAAATTTCCATGAAAAAAAAAATCTGGTTTGGAAGATCTTTATATCAAGATTCATTTCTCTTTCAACTTGAGTGCCTTTCTCAATTCTTAAGTTTTCATAATATCATTCTTATTCAAGCTGAAAAATTGAAAAAAAAAATAGAGATTCAAATAATTTTGGCAAAAATGTACATCATCACAAAATCCATTACTTAAAAGATGTCTTAGTGACAACTGAAACCAGTGAAAGAGCACTATCATGCAAGACACCTGCATCATCACAGAGTTCCAGCACCAGGTATTTTTCTACAGGGTCCAAATAAACCAAAGTAGGGCAAAACACATCAGGAGGATGAGTATCAATAGTGACCCCAGCAGTGTGGGATACCGTACACCTGTCCAGGTACGCCCAGGTGTTGTAGGTATGTATATATATGTACATATACAGCCACAATCAAAACGCAAGATGCAAGTTTGTATAGGTACAATATCTACCACGATTCGCTAGGATGTTTTATGAGAAGCTAAGTTTAATACAAGTGCTAAATTACCTCTTGGTTCTCCTCACAAGTCCTACTAGACACTGAAATGGTCAATTAGAACAGTCAAGTACATATAATATCAACACAATGATAACAATATACACATGTATAGTTCTGAATAAAAGCTGACTAGTATGTACAATACATATATAAACAGTGTCAATATACAGACAAGACTTACAGAGGAAGGTTACATCGGGATTCAGTTACACATACATCACAAATCACACAAAACATGACCAACAGCATCAATATATTGGCAGGTTATAACACACAGTGAACACATCTTTTTAAACATTACTGGAGTAGGCCCAATATGATTAATTCGAGCTTCATAACAGTTCCTTCAATAACTTGACCACAATATCAGGCTTAAATATCTGATAGTTGCTAAATATATTTTAGCCTATAAAGTTTGCCAATTTTAGTCAAACCAATTTGAGTACCATATCAACATCCCAAATGATGTTTTAACCAAGTTATGAAATATCAAGGGAAGACAACTCTGTTGGAGTCAACAGCATTAGGATTGTGACAGGGTTTCACTAATTACAATATCAAACTCAATCACTTTTTGATATGAAAGTTATTTTGGTGGGTTGACCTCAACAAAGAACAATAAACTAATCTATGTTATTTCAAATTAATCATCTCTGGCATCCAGTGGTGTTGACATTCCTTTATCAGGCTTGGGAACAACAATAAAAGGCAAGTTTAAAATCACATCAGATTATTCACTTTGTATAACATCTAAAATTCAGTCAAAATGTAAGTACAACTTTGGTAGCACTAGACACATGTACTTCAAATATTCTGACACTGATTAAAACAATGATCTCTATATAAAAATAATTTTTCGTGTTCTTCTCGGCTTTCTGGGATATAATTATCTGATATCCTTAATAGTTCACATAATCTCTATTTTGCTGTAAATATCTAATATCTGCATATCAGGAGAACCATTCTAGCCATTCCATTAATAAGTACCAGACTGACATAAACAGCCAATCACTGCAAAGCTTGCATTTGGCTTAGCCAATCACTGTGAAGCTTACAATAGGCTTAGCCAATTAGTATGATGCTTACAACAAGCTTAGCCAATTACTGTAAGGCTTTCAACAGGCTTTGCCAATTATTGTTAGGCTTACAACAAGTTAAGTCAATCACTCTGAGGCCTCACAATAACTGTAGATAACTCTGACAACAATATAGGTAAACATGTGTGTGTCCATCACACAGAGGTAACATCACAGACTCTGCCCATATATCATCACTGGTTAAATCATACATCTTGTATAAATACAGTATCTTGAGCATTGCACACAATTATAAATGCACATCTGAAAGTATCCTTTTATGTATGAGACATTCACTGGTATCTAATCTTACATTTACTAAGCAAGTTTATGTTAGAGTATCTGAACTAGTTGTTGTAGAATATGAACCTTGACCTTGACCTATGTCACATTGAAGCCCTGTGTCAGCACTCTGTGTCTTTCAGCCCACTGTAAGATGACTGTTTGAGGACGACAGTGTTTGTATCACTTCTAAACAGAATATCTGATGATGCTTTATCACTTTTTACATGCTTGTTTTTCACCTTACTGCTAACAGAAGAACTAGGGGGAGACAACTTGGGTCCATAAATTGTGTCATGTCTAGGTTTCCATACAGGGGAGCCCCCATCGTCACAGCTGAGGCTGCTAGACGAGTGGGTGACTGGGTTAGCACTGGCGAAGGTCAGTTTGGCTGAACCACTGTTACGACTAGATGTGCTGAGATTAGAATTAGAGGAACAAGAACTCTTGGAGTCTGCCGAGATTTGTGGCTCAGAGCATGCTACATACGTCTCAGCCTGCGATTCATTGTCCAGATCATCAACATTTAAATCGCCTACTGTCTTACTGCGAGTCCTAAAAGAATCACCTTCTATCAAGTTCACTTTCCCATCCAATTCCATAGAATGTCTCTCACCATCCAGGATCTTGTTTGCCTGTTTTTTCCGTAGCGTGCGTACGTTGCTCCCGACCAATCCCTCAAGACGTTTGCCACCGTATGGAATGTAATTCTTGTTGGTCTTTCCATTGCCTCCCTGTGGCAGTGTCATCTTCCTAACACTTTCTCGTATTGTCTGACGAATTATCTTCATGAAGTCAGATTTGGCTTCTGTAGAACTGGAGAGGAAAAAGGATAATACATATCACATGGGGAATATACATGTTAAGATCATAAAAACAACCAATAGGATCTTCAGTACTAAAAATAGGGAGTCCCTCTCACTCTTAAAGTACACACTAGCTTGAGAAGAGAGTATTCAGTATACATACTTCACACATTCAGTTCAATAAGATATTTTCTATATTTTAACAGATCCTGGCAAATATTAGAATCCAAGTACAGATGGCTGTAAAGTTCACACAAGATTTATTTAATCAAGAATATCTCTGAAACAGTTTTCAATAATGCATTGTCAATGAACAATGTTAATTAAAAAGATACTTTAACCAGTCAGGACTGATATCAACTAATTACAGACTGATATCAACTGATTACAGACTGATGTCAACTAATTACAGACTGATATCAACTGATTACAGACTGATATCAACTAATTACAGACTGATATCAACTGATTACAGACTGATATGAACTAATTACAGACTGATATCAACTGATTACAGTCTGATATCAACTAATTACAGACTGATATCAACTGATTACAGACTGATATCAACTGATTACAGACTTATATGAACTAATTACAGACTGATATCAACTGATTACAGACTGATGTCAACTAATTACAGACTGATATCAACTGATTACAGACTGATATCAACTAATTACAGACTGATATCAACTGATTACAGACTGATATGAACTAATTACAGACTGATATCAACTGATTACAGACTGATATCAACTAATTACAGACTTATATGAACTAATTACAGACTGATATCAACTGATTACAGACTGATATCAACTAATTACAGACTGATATTAACTAATTACAGACTGATATCAACTGACTACAGACTGATATCAACTGATTACAGACTGATATCAACTGATTACAGACTGATGTCAACTAATTACAGACTGATATCAACTGATTACAGACTGATATCAACTAATTACAGACTGATATCAACTGATTACAGACTGATATCAACTGATTACAGACTGATATCAACTAATTACAGACTGATATCAACTGATTACAGACCGATATCAAGTGGATACATGTAGCTTAATTTAACCTTGTAATACATGTAAATTCTCTCAGCATTTTTGTCATTATCATAGCTAAGTTCTCTTTATTATCTTCGTAAATATTTTTTTGATAGAAAAAAAAAAAAAAACCCAACTTTTTTTCAGACTAATGTGAGATTAGAGACAGTAACCTTTAGTGTTAACAATCTGTGAGAGTTTGTCTTGGTGGTGTAAGGTCTATTGTTGGGTTATTTGTCTTGGTGTGTGATAGTGTAGGTTAGTAGCTGTTAGTAACAAACCTGTTACAGAACTGGTAGACTCTCTCTGGTCGCCCTTCATTGTCAGACCGTGAGTGGACAAGCTCCCACCAGTAATGTTTGTCCATATCACTGACCTTCCCACCCTGGACTTGAACCTCTGTAACAGGAATAAGTGTCCGGAACCGCTCTATGCACTCATGTGTATCTGGTGTTCCCTTGTTTGCCTGGTTCTGTGAGAACAAAAAAAAATCCACTTATATTTATCCACATTTCAGAGCTGAGGAATGGTTAGGTAGGAAAAGAGAATGATAAATATATTTTCAGAGAAAACAGTATGTTTTTACGAAGAATATTGTACCCTTGTCTCTCTATTTGATATAGGGAACTATATGTATTAACACTGTACTAGTCTAAACACACACAACACTTGATTGTTCAGCCAAACAAAATTTAGTGACCAATTCTTCTTTAGAGGAAATGTTCTTCAGAAACATATTTTTATATAACAACCTGTGTCCCAGATAACTTCTATAACCTGCCATCATTTCATCAGTGAATTACAACTTCATTGAGCTGTCAAGCTACAAGCATAGATTGTAGCTTTACACTCTTTGTTAACATTTTGAGAATTTCCTTGATACTGCATACATTATGCAGAACTTTTTCTACCTTCTCGACTATGCAGTTACCTTTGCCTTCTTTTTCTTGACTTTCTCTCGACACAGGAACACCACAGCAGATTTGAAGACAAAGATGATGTTCTCAAGATCAAGGCCTTTCTTTATCTTGCCCAGACTATCACAGATATTGCACCATTCCACTGTACCATACATCTGTAGCTCCCCAACACTCAGTTCCACAGCCTGTGGACAAAATAGAGTTACTTCCCTTGAACACATTTAAACATACCAGGGTTAAGTTTCATCAGAAATGAACAACAATCAATCCAAAGAAGACAAATAAACAAACACAAAGAAACTGTTACATTTCATCTATTTGTCCAGTGTTTTCCAACTTTTGATTGTTGTTCCCTTGGTCCAAAAAAATTGAAGAACTGGTATACACAAGGCAGTTGAGCCAAAAATTCATATATGCATCACATCAAATTAGAATCAATTGTAAGATTTTTTTTTATCATTGTTTTAGGAATAAGACCATCAAATACAGGAAATAGATTACATTTCATTTAATTGGAAAAAAAACAAAAATTTTAATGAAAATAGATATTACAAAAGATCAAATATTAAGGTCAATTCTTGAGAGAACTTTGAGCCATTATGCACAAATTATATGAAGTTATTCTGGGGTACAGAACATCTAAAATATCTTTGTGTTTACCTTTTTATGAGGGTAGAGGTCCCTGAACATGCGGGAGAGTTCATCAAACACAGCACCATATTCCTCGTAAATTTTCTGCATTTCATTGATATGTTCTGCTACAGCCTCCATACCTTTCAAGGCCTCTACAAAAGGTTTACAAAGCAATACACTTAAAAGGCAACATCCATACAGTGTACAAAACAGTACCCTTCAAGGCCACTACCATACAATGTACAAAACAGTACCCTTCAAGGCCACTACCATACAATGTACAAAACAGTACCCTTCAAGGCCACTACCATACAATGTACAAAACAGTACCCTTCAAGGTCACTACCATACAATGTACAAAACAGTGCACTTAAAAGGCAACATCCATACAACGTACAAAACAGTACACTTAAAAGGCAACATCCATACAACATACAAAACAGTCCTCTTCAAGGCCACTACCATACAATGTACAAAACAGTACCCTTCAAGGCCACTACCATACAGTGTACAAAACAGTACACTTAAAAAGGAACATCCATACAGTGTACAAAACAGTACCATTCAAGGTCACTACCATACAATGTACAAAACAATACCCTTCAAGGCCACTACCATACAATGTACAAAACAGTAACCTTCAAGGTCACTACCATACAATGTACAAAACAGTTCCCTTCAAGGTCACTACCATACAATGTACAAAACAATACCCTTCAAGGCCACTACCTTACAATGTACAAAACAGTCTCTTCAAGGTCACTACCATACAATGTACAAAACAATACCCTTCAAGGCCACTACCATACAATGTACAAAACAGTCTCTTCAAGGCCACTACCATACAATGTACAAAACAGTCTCTTCAAGGCCACTACCATACAGTGTACAAAACAGTACCCTTCAAGGTCACTACCATACAATGTACAAAACAATACCCTTCAAGGCCACTACCATACAGTGTACAAAACAGTACCCTTCAAGGCCACTACCATACAATGTACAAAACAATACCCTTCAAGGCCACTACCATACAATGTACAAAGCAGTACCCTTCAAGGTCACTACCATACAGTGTACAAAACAATACCCTTCAAGGTCACTACCATACAATGTACAAAACAATACCCTTCAAGGTCACTACCATACAATGTACACTTCAATGTCACTATCATATAATAGCAAAATGGACACTTAACTATGCTCTTTTTTATCATTACCAAAATTTTATCTTAATTTTTATTGCTTTTATAAGGATGTGTATGTTTTTTAAAGATTTGTTTCAAGACACAAACACTAAGATTCTAGATATGATTGAGAGTAACAGATATGGTACCTGACAAATGATAATGTTCATCTGTGTCAGCATCTGTGAGGTTACAGAGCTGTTGTAGTAAGAGAGGATATCGTAGTATTCTCTGTATCGGTTTGATCAGGTAGGATTCCAGTGTAGATGAGTGCTGCTGTTTAGGGTTCCTCACATGAAGAAATTTCCTCAGCGCTTCATTGGCATCTGTCAACATCCAGATACATTAGCTTAATACTGACACTATAAGTACAAGATTGTTTGAATTCCAGCAGAACATTTCACAAAATCTGGAATACCGGCATTGGTACAAACATTGTCTGGATCTTTGATATGGTATTTACTTCAATGAATATATCATTTCATTTTTCGTTCTTACCTGGATTAAGAATTTTTTGAGATCTGGTATGACTGGCACAAAATGAACTGTAGACTTTGAAGTGATTGGCGTAGAACAAGAATGAGCCTCCCAGAGAGAATAGCACTCGCTGTAAAACAGGATAACAGGTCAGTCATGTCAACCAAACAATGTGTGGAAGTCAAACATAAAACATGAAAGAAGTGTAAAATTAATGATTAACTATACTACTTTATTATATATAGGAATACAGAAATGTATAAATAGATATATATATAGCAATGTGTTTAAAGTGTGGGTACAAGAATATATGTACAGTATATAGCAGTGTGTACAGTATATAGCAGTGTGTTTACAATATGGGTACAAGAATATATGTACAGTATATAGCAGTGTGTACAGTATATAGCAGTGTGTTTACAATATGGGTACAAGAATATATGTACAGTATATAGCAGTGTGTACAGTATATAGCAGTGTGTTTACAATATGGGTACAAGAATATATGTACAGTATATAGCAGTGTGTACATTTTATAGCAGTGTGTTTACGGTATGGGTACAAGAATATATGTACAGTATATAGCAGTGTGTTTACGGTATGGGTACAGAAATATATGTATAGTATATAGCAGTGTGTATAGTATATAGCAGTGTGTACAGTATATAGCAGTATGTACAGTATATAGCAGTGTGTACAGTATATAGCAGTGTGTACAGTATATAGCAGTATGTACAGGATATTGCAATAATCAGAAGTATGGGTACATGTTTAAAGCCTGTGAATACAAATTCTACACGTGTATGTAGTATTTAAATGGCATAGATATATAAATGTTTGTTCAAGCAAAAGTAAATAATTTCAAACTTTATGAATCAAAAACTGACAGATAGTATCAACAAAATATACAGTTTGACAAACAGGGAGTGAGGAATTCATAAGGGGAAACATGTTATTTTCAAACAGGAGCTAAGTTGTAATTAATTAAATACAGAGATAATTGTAATTAAAATAATATGAAAGTATAATATTGTAGTAGAAATAGAGGGTGGAATTTTTAGAAGAAACACAGGGTGGAAAAAAAGCACAGAGAAGATGATGGATAAAAATACAATATACATATATATATAAATACACATAAGAAATAAAGTTTAGTAAATAAAATTTCAGGGTGTACATAGAACAGCAGGGGAAGAAGAAAAGAGAACAGCGAGCTACCGAGGGAGGAAATGAGAACAGCGAGCTACCGAGGGAGGAAATGAGAACAGCGAGCTACCTAGGGAGGAAAAGAGAACAGTCTACCATTACAACAATTGGTTGTGACCACCACCTACCCGTAGTTCAAGGTCCTTGTAAAGCAAAGGGAATAGGGAGCAAGGTCAAGGTGAATGTTAAATATAGATTATACTTTAAGGTCAAGGCCAATAATATATTTACTATAGATATGATAAGCATCATAAAGATAAGAAATGTCACATAAAGCATTTGATATCATCTTCTTCTCAGCAATGAAGTATTTCTATCATACTCAACTTTCTTAATTAATTTATCACACTTTTCTTGTAATTAGGAATAATGAATTACATATCTGTATGAATATGCAACAATGATATTGCCTAACTTTAAAGAATGACTGTGTTTATAATGATGATAGCCTCTATCTGGACTAATATTTCTATAAAAAAAACTTTTTTCCTATGTTATGATGGAGCAGTGTTATGAGAAATCAATGCCTTATAAATGCCTTGTTATAACGAATCAGCTTTTGTGAAAAATAAATACCCTGTAATTTTTTGGATCATCAGTGGTAAAGAACTCGTCTTCCAACTGCATGGCTTCCTCCAGACTTTTAAGGAACTGTCGCTGGAAAATCACAATCTCCTGGATGTTTCCAAATAGCTGGTCAATTTCGTTAGAGGTGAGACATGTTTCCTGCTTAAGGGGTTCCAGATAACGCTCCGTCAAGAAGTTTAAATCCTGAAAGTTACAGCCAGGGATGATTTATAATTTTAGCTAGATTTACCTCCCTTTAAATAAGTTACATGAAGTTATGTGTTCAAATAAAGAACAAGAAAACGAAACAATATCATGATGCTCTAACCAGAAAAGAGATCTAAGCTCACACTGTCTCTAACAGTCTAACATTACCTTGACGTAAGCTCACTCTGTCTCTAACAGTCTAACATTACCTTGACGTAAGCTCACTCTGTCTCTAACAGTCTAACATTACCTTGACGTAAGCTCACTGTCTCTAACAGTCTAACATTACCTTGACGTAAGCTCACTCTGTCTCTAACAGTCTAACATTACCTTGACGTAAGCTCACTGTCTCTAACAGTCTGACCTTACCATGATGTAAGCTCACACGGTCTCTAACAGTCTGACCTTACCTTGACGTAAGCTCGCTCTGTCTCTATCAGCTCCATGATAACTTTACGGAGTTTCTGGGACTCAGAAAGAGGTTTGTAGTTATTAGCACTGTCCATGTTGTTGGTCATTGCGTTGTCACTTCCTGTCCGACAGATGGCGGTAACCTGGTCAGCACCCTGAAGGGACACAACACTAGTTTTACATCAATACCAGAGAAACTAAAAACAGTTATTTCATATTGTCATAACTTTCTGATTTTCTAGTGCAAATTCCCATTGCAAACCTCCTACCAATCCCACATTTTCTTCATTACACTACAAAAGCCAACTTTCATGTGATAAAATGATATATCCACCATAGAAGTCAATAATAAAACTGTAATTCAGTTTTATATCAATTTCTGAAGTTCAATAGAAAGCAGTGTATACACGAAATAAATTCACCTCTAAAAGTGCATCAATCTGGGTCGGAGACAAGTTTGGCATGGACTCGTGCTTCGGAGATGTTGCATTTTTGTGATCACCATTGGCTGAAACAGAAGTAAAAATCATTTATCTTTCTTCAACAAAACGCATTATTTTCAACAGATTCAATAACATGGCATGAGAGGGAAATGTAGTAGTGGTTTTGATTAATAATACAGTTGCAGAATACATTGGAATATTCTGGGTTTAAAATTAACACGCTGTGAAGTACAGATGATGTTCAGCCATTCATCAAAATTTATAATCTATTATTACAATGATATCCTTATATCTATAGATTCATATAGCTATATCATTACTACAAGTCTACAGTGAAAAGAGTATGAATTTTTGTCCTTACCTACAGGTGCAGGCACAGTGAGCTTGCCGAGACTTTTCTCACTTATGCGCGACTGGCTGGGTGGAGGGGGACACACCATCCTGTTGATATCGGCAGGGTCCACGGCGACCGAGGTAGGGGGTGGTTGTGTGCGAAGTGAACGCACAGTCAGACATAGGGACATAGACTCATGTAACATGGCTTCTATATACACCATGTCCAGCTCAGACACAATCTTACCATTGATCACCAGTATCTCATCACCAATAATTAGACCTGAAACAGTAAGTTATAAGATGAGAATCTCTATATCACAAATATTTCACACTGCTAAAATAAGTACCCTTATTAAACTGGATTTACAAGACTTGAGATAGAGTTAACTATTAGTACATATTTATCCCAGGAGCATTTTGAATAAAACTGAAAGGAAAAAGCTCACTAATCTCTTTTATTGACAAATATTGTGCATGCTGTAAATTTGTGTACAACAATTTTTTAAAAAAGATATTAGATATTTCAACCAAATGTTTTTATTACATTTAGTAGTGTCAATTTTTCAGAATTAAAATAAACTTAATAAACTGCATTTGTTGAGAGGATACCTGAACAATGAAGTCTCCAAAACTCTTTCTGGGCATTGTCAACATGAATGATTAATACAATATCAAAGTACTTGCAAATTAAATCTAAATACGCTTAGACTATTCAAGAGAATCACGCACATATATACATAATAGACTGGGATAACAGTATTATCCTGAAGACATCTTCAACCAAATTCGATAAAGTTTACAATAAGTTAATAGACAAAATTGACTTTTTTTTGTTAAAAAAAAATTGTTTACAAAAATGAAATTACCTATCTCTATAGGACATGAAATCTTTATGCTAAATAAAAATTAAATTTGCTTTCAGATCTAAAAAGACCCTCTGAAAGTAATTCCTGTGAGAACCATTACATGTAGACTGACGTTTCTGTATCGAAGACATCTGGTAACATGGTAATCTACTTAAGAAAAAGGATTTTTTGTGTGTAAAAGTCAGATGATAATCTAAGACAGATATGAAGTGACATGGTAATCGTTGTTCAAACCCAAAGAGTACAAATAAAATTAGGTAAGAACCTACCTGTACGGTGAGCTATGCCAGCCTGCAGGACGTTGCTAACATATAAACGGAGTTCATCGTCACGCTCTATGTCTTCTGCTAGCTCTGCCTCCACAGCAAACCCAAATTCTGTATCACATTCATTCTTCTGCAGATCCAACTGGAACACACTTTTTTGGCAAACTTCTATGGACTCGTATTTCTGTGAATATACAAAGCACAGATGCAAGGGGTTAGGTATTTCAAAATTGATGTATGATAAGAGAATTATCATCCTATATCTAATACTATGGTCTTCCAAGTCGATAAACCTTATCAAATCAGAAGACATCCCTCTATCTCTTTGAATACAGACTTTACAAGATCTCCTCCATCAAACTTTAGTGTGCAGAATGTTTTTTTTACATCAAAATGGCACAACTTTTGTCTCGAGTACAAACCGCCATGATGGCTTCTTAGGCCTTGTTCATGAAGACATGCAGACAGTACAGAAATAACAGTCCCCCCTGCAGAGGGCAATATTAGAGATGCAACAGCTTTGAAAAGTAGTCCTGTAGATGTGCTTGAAATTTGATGACCAATATATCAATCTACATAGTAAATATTTTATCCCTGTAATGATAGCAGTATAACATATACAATAAATTTCTGAATTTTCCTGACACATAAACACGAGATTTGGTTTCATCAATTCATTATCAACAAGAAATGAGTGAGTGCCGTGACTTAGTACATGTATATAAACTACCTGTATCATACATTTATAATCAGGAATACTCCTACAAGTAGTATATATTATAGGGAAACATGACTGCCTGATCCTGTATGTAGGAGCCTTGTCACGACAACCTGGTCTATACAAAACACTGTGATACTATATATATACACTAAATTGAAGAATGACATCAATAATAACTTAATTACCAAACTTCACCTGAATTCATACATCACTCAGTTCAACAGATATTAACGTATGTTGGTTTACTGGACGTCATTATTGGTTTATTTTGAGCCATATATTGGTGTTTCCACTTCCTACTCATGTTAACTCCAAAAGTATCCTTGTCTCAGGCCGTGAATGACTTAGCAGGACTAGTTGCTTCTGAAGCCAAATATGACCTCAATGTTATAGAAAAGATAGCAGACCTATAACCACATATTAAAGAGGAACACTTACCTCATCAAAGTTGTATAAGCTAGCTGCACTGTGTTCACTGACATATATATGTAGTACTTACTAAAACAATGATCACCTGCAGCCTTGACCTCTTAACCTGATGGTCATCTTACCTGATCCAACAGGTGTTTGCTCAGGTAACTCAAAGGTAAATACCATGTCCAGAGCACTGGTTATCATTTTAACAGCCCTATAAGTACATGCCGATGAAAGCTAGCCAAGCTCTGATAAGAAAGTCTTGTTTGTTATACACACTTCAAAGACCTTGATCGTCACAATGTACAAATCCCAGACTTTGTCACTTATCACCATGTCCTACAAACCCCAGACTTTGTCACTTATCACCCTGTCCTACACACCCCAGACTTTGTCACTTATCACTATGTCCTAAAAACACCAGACTTTGTCACTTACTACCATGTCCTACAAACCCCAGACTTTGTCACTTACCACCATGTCCTACAAACCCCAGACTTTGTCACTTATCACCATGTCCTACAAACCCCAGACTTTGTCACTTATCACCATGTCCTACAAACCCCAGACTTTGTCACTTACCACCATGTCTTACAAACCCCAGTCTTTGTCACTTATCACCATGTCCTACATACCCCAGACTTTGTCACTTATCACCATGTCCTACAAACCTGAGACTTTGCCACTTACCACCCTGTCCTACAAACCCCAGACTTTGTCACTTACTACCATGTCCTACAAACCCCAGACTTTGTCACTTATCACCATGTCCTACAAACCCCAGACTTTGTCACTTATCACCATGTCCTACACACCCCAGACTTTGTCACTTATCACCATGTCCTACAAACCAGAGACTTTGCCACTTACCACCCTGTCCTACAAATCCCAGACTTTGTCACTTACTACCATGTCCTACAAACCCCAGACTTTGTCACTTACCACCATGTCCTACAAACCCCAGTTTTTGTCACTTATCACCATGTCCTACACACCCCAGACTTTGTCACTTATCACCATGTCCTACAAACCAGAGACTTTGCCACTTACCACCCTGTCCTACAAATCCCAGACTTTGTCACTTACTACCATGTCCTACAAACCCCAGACTTTATCACTTATCACCATGTCCTACAAAACCCAGACTTTGTCACTTATCACCATGTCCTAAAAACTCCAGACTGTTACTTATCACCATGTCCTACAAACCCCAGACTTTGTCACTTTTCACCATGTCCTACAAACCCCAGACTTTGTCACTTATTAACATGAAATAAAATGCAGTATACTGTTTGATACAGACTCTACTTAATGATAATCCCAAGAATGGCATGTTCCTGCGAATAGTGCGCACCTCCTTTTTGACACGACAGTTTTAGCATGAAAAAGTGCGCATTATACACGGAAATTTATGGTATGTCTCCTGAATCATACTATACTACTTAAACTACACAAGGATAGATTTGTAATGTTTGGCACAAAATCATTGATACAAATGGTTGATGAATGAAGGAAATCCACAGCTGGATTCTAGCCATTCTCAAAAGTAATTTTCTATCTACGATCATTGTTGTATATCTATTTTACACAACTCAGTCAATGCTGCTTGCCAAAATGACACAACCATATCAGCACACATTAGCCTGTTTTTTCAGCTTCCTGACAAATACCAGTAGCCAAAGGAAGGGAGTGTCAACCTAAGACACTACCTTTTCCCCTGAAATTGTCTATGATAATGGTCTACCAACAGAGATATCATGACTCCTTGATGTTTGATACAGAAAGTGTGTGATCTGGAACAACAGCTGCTCTTTGTGATAACATTTGTACTACCAATTATAGCAGCTTTCTTACATGGGAGTTAACACTAAACAAACCCCACCCCCCTAAAAACCATATCCGAATGATCTTTGAAAATACATAGTAAAACAATAATAATTTCCAATGGGAAGTGAATTTCTGGAAATTGCTTACAAGAACATGTTCCTATTTCATTTATCTCCAAGGATTCCTTCCACTGATAATGAAATTTGGAGTTGAATAATTTGATCAGCTTGGGAGACTTAATTTATATAACTGTATCATGTGACCCTTATGTGGAACTTACAAGGACTGGAGTGGAAGATTAAAGGGCCCATTCATTTCCCACCACAATCTACTCCTGGGTGTGAAGGTGTATGCCCTCTGTAACTCGTCCTTTTTTCATAGAACTAGGTTTTCCTCTGTGACAGAATTGATTTAGATCGTAATATCTGATGTCAAGGCTGTCACAGATTAGTCTGACCTGTTCTTCTCAGGATATGGTAAATCAGAATTTAGTGCCATACATAAGGGATTTAGGCTTTTAGTGGATTACAGTACATATTCAAATCTTGGCGATGATGGTGTATATTAATTGAATTAGATTCTGACCAAGAGATCTGGTGTAAACCATGAGCTCCAAAGTACCATACCTACTGGAAAACCTTGTACCTGGTCCTGGTGATGTTCATTTGCCCACCAATCCTCAACTATTAATCTGACTAACACACATAAAACAATACCTGTTTGACCACTGGTCAAGGAAATAAACAAGGTGATGATTGTAAATAAACTTACCAGCTTCTTGATGTTGTCTTGCATATCTGGTATATAGTAATTTCCTTGTGGCGCATTTGGCATTTTTATTCGCACATAATGATCTGAGGGATTGAGCTGTCGCTTGCTGCACACCGACTCTAGCAAGTGCTGGACTGATGTTTTCTTGTCCACTCCGACCAAAATATTCTGAAAGATAATACACAGTTGTCAATAACCATTCACAGATGGTGTTTTTATGTCGGTTTTACGTCCAGTCAGTGATGATCAGTGTGGACATACCGATCGGGACTGGTCAAGGTTTAGTCATGTTGGTACTTTCACTTACGCACAACATTGTATTACAGGTCTAATGACAGATAATGAGAAGTGATTTACTTTACAACGTCACAGCAGTAAATATGTCTACCAAAGCAACACCTGTAAGTGCATTTAATATTGCCAGTCAGAACAAATGCACCGATTGACTCCTGCATATATAAATTCATAAAGGGCCTGAAAGTTGTATTTGCAATGCACTTTATGTTGTATATCTTTTAAAATTGAAAACAGAGAAAGAGGAAATAAAGTAGTATTGTAACAAGGTTTGGCCTTTTTAAAAATCGTCTCGTTTTCAATCAAATAAATATTCCTCCAAAATGAAGGGAGATACTCTATGGGATATATCTTCAGTACCTAATCACATAATCACTATTTGTTTAAAAATAATCCCATAAAAACAAACATTGCAATTGTAAGAAGAGTTCAATATTTCTACAAATATGAAATTTTGAATAAATCAATTCAACGCTAAAAGAAAATAATGCAAACCTAGCTGGATACAAAAATACTTCCACAGGCACTTATATACTGTACGTACATACTTATATATATTGTATGTTTATAATGCTGTCTTCAGAATAAAGTATTTTAAAATTATAATATCCAAATAAACTAAGAGATTACACATACCTCAGGCCTTCTCCATTTAATACATGTAAACCCAGGCCTACTTGACAGGTGTGAGTATGTATCACTCCGACCACACGACATGCATGTTTAAGTATAGCAGGTATTATAAAGGTTTAAACATTCAGACCGACAGACAGGAATAAACTTTGTTCAAAGCCATGTTTAAAATGTATCAAAATCCATATATTTTTGCTTGAGGACAAACAATGTACTTACAATCACAGGTGAAGGAAATTACGGCTACATACGAGCAACTTTTACAATATTTAAGTTCAAAATCCACCCCAATATCAAAATACTCAATTCTTACAAATGACAGAAGCGATGGAACAATGCACTCATCACAAGGGCTTTCTACATAATATATCTAATTTACATACAACAAGGAAAATGGGACACTCATCACAATAGTGTAGTACATATATACAATGCACATCATCTTAACAAGAACAGCAGAGACAACTAACCCAACTTTCACATTTGGGTTGTATAATAAACAAACAGGGCCAACATGACAGTCCACTCATTACAATGTAGTCGTACGTACATTTCTCACAAACAACAGAGGCGATGGACCAATCCACTCATCACATTGGGACAGTGTTTATATTTTGTACAAACAGAGGTGATGGACCAATCCACTCATCACATTGGGACAGTGTTTATATTTTGCACAAATAACAGAGGCATTGAAACAATCCATCTCTCACATTGGGTATAAATCTTTCTCACAAACAACATGGGACAGTCCTCTCTAGACTGTAGTAAGTATCATCCTCACAAACAAGGGGTTCAATAGGACAGTTTACTCATTACATAATGGTAAAACTAACCATATCACAGAGAAACGAAAAACCATACCACATAAACAATCTGTTCACAAGTAACCTGTATAGAGGAAATGGTGGAGAGAGGATTGGGCCATGTCCACACACGGTCACATGCTGACACGGAAAATTCATTTAAATATTATAATTTGCAATGTTAGATACTGATTTTTGGTTTGTCTGAACCAAATAGAAGTTGATTAAAACTTCCATTCAAGGAATGTCAACATATTATGGAATCATTTAGCTGATCAAGGTTTTAAGTCCTGTTCAGTGCTTAGAGCTCATGGAGGTATGCTTTCCATATACAATGATACTAATTTTATCAAGAAACGTGCAACATCTGCATCCACTTATGATAACTACTAGCATGAAATTTTGAAGTAATTCTTCCCAAATGACTATATGGAAATGTTGACTCCATGAAAACAAAGCACTGTTGCTCAGAACTCTGTTAGCACCAGGAAGTTCAGGGTTTCTACACAGGGAATTCAGTCCAGTCATGGTATAGTTAAATCTTCTGTACTGTTCCGTGGATTAATCACGCTTTAGTGTTATCTATTATATAGAGAACAAGCCAAACTATCTTCATAGTGATTAATAGTTTACTGGACTGCCAAAATAAATTTGTTTTCCACGAAACAGCACAGCTTTATTATTTAAAGGTCAAAGTTAAATAGTTCTACTCCAAGGTCATATCATTCTAATTCAAGGCTAAACCAATACCGAATGTTCTTGGTTGTCCAACTCCTGCCAACAAATGATAAACACACAACACATTAACTCATTACACCATCAACATGTACTCTGGAAACATCCTTGAAGCTACACAATTTGTCATTGATGGATACATCATTATCTTAACCTTTAACCTTTCCAATGTGTAGCAAAAAGTATCAGAAGATTTTTCTCTGTGCCATTGAACTTTCATTTATCAAAATCAAGTCCGCTGAAAACTTATTGTAGCCATCTAAATATAGGAGGTTCACAGCAGAACTTACTCATCTATAATTTGTAAACCAAACAGTATTAGCCACTGTCATCTACAATTTGTATACAAATCTGTACTAGCCTCTCTCATCTACAATTTGTATACAATATAGGACTTGCCTCTATCATCTACAATTCGTATGTGAGATAGGACTAGCCTCTCTCACCTACAATTTGTATACAATATAGGACTTGCCCTATCATCTACAATTTGTATACAATATTTGTATACAATATAGGACTTGCCCTATCATCTACAATTTGTATACAATATAGGACTAGCCTCTCTCATCTACAATTTGTATACAATATAGGACTTGCCTCTATCATCTACAATTCTTATGTGAGATAGGACTAGCCTCTCTCACCTACAATTTGTATACAATATAGGACTTGCCCTATCATCTACAATTTGTATACAATATTTTACTAGCCACTCTCATCTACAATTTGTATACAATATAGGACTTGCCCTATCATCTACAATTCGTATGTGAGATAGGACTAGCCTCTCTCACCTACAATTTGTATACAATATAGGACGCCCTATCATCTACAATTTGTATACAATATTTTACTAGCCACTCTCATCTACAATTTGTATACAATATAGGACTTGCCCTATTATCTACAATTTGTATACAATATAGGACTTGCCCTATCATCTACAATTTGTATGTGAGATAGGACTGAAATATTCAAATACTGTCACCAATCACTACCTTTCATTTTGTAGCCAAAATAATTTCTTTCAAGTGCAGACCAAACATAATTAAATTTTCTAAATGTGGTTCAAAATCCTTCACAAATGCTTCAGGAATTATCAAGAATTGAATGAATTTTATTTTTTGTATCCCCACTGCGATGATTAAAAGGATGCTTCTTACCTAAACCATATTATTGATAAAGAGGAAAATTTTTCACAAAAGTATGTATTGACCCCAAAAATAAGTGTAAAATACTGGAGCATAACCTGCAAGTACAACATCTTTGTACAGCACACAAAAAGCAATATATAGTGAAGAAATAGGAGTATCCCACCAGGATAGGAGGCAGTAGGTGGTTACGATGATCTATCAGTAATAGTATAGAAATCATATGTAAAACCGTAAATAAATACAGACACATTAATTATTTCACAGAATAATTTGTCAAAATGTAATTACCATCCTAAAAACACATTCTTACCTCTGTGATATATAAATCTCCAATCTAGAGCGACAAACACACCAAGTGAGTAAACTTCTAACGGGTCATGATGTTGTTATGTCTATCATGACAGAACCTGGCCCTCAGACAGCAATACAAACGTATATCGCTGGACAGGTAAACCTCCGCCCTGAGAAAACTACACTAACCGACACAAAATCACTCAAGCGTCACACCATCCATCATTATCACAAAATCAGGAAAATGAAAGAAACTCTGCTGTAATTACACCATTGTAGGTGCTGTGTGAAGTTATTTCTGTTTGTGGCTTGGAAATGACTGTAATTGTGAGAGTCCAATGACGGTTTGTCCATCATGACTGTTTGACTGCATGCACATTAATAACAGTCCAGCGTCTGGAAGGTCTACCATTACTCACAAAGAGCAAAAAAACTCAGGTAGAATGGCTCTATTGGCCTGTTTAGGTAATTACTACATACCTTCAGGTCATAAATGAGATTTTACCTGTGATTCAAGTCACTGATAATTATAATTCACTGACTAAATTTGAAGATGTACGGACATGTCAGATAATTTTGTTACTTTAGATGGTCAATACTTTAGATAAAATGAGGGTAACAACATTCACTGATAAATGTATGGAAACTTATCTTGAACTTATAAACAAAAATGGTTTCACAATATAATGTATAATTCATAATAACTTGATATATCAATAACTCTTGTTGGCCAAGAAACGAGTGGACGGTCAGGCAGATCACCCCACACTTATGTCTAATCACGGATATACACATGACTATACACACACATACAAACCATCCACCTGACCATACACAGGTACCAACACATACAAACTATCCACCAAACCATACACAGGTACCAATACATACAATCCATCCACCTGACCATACACAGGTACCAATACATACAAACCATCCACCTGACCATACACAGGTACCAATACATACAAACCATTCACCTGACCATATACAGGTACCAATAATACAAACCATTCACCTGACCATATACAGGTACCAATACATACAATCCATTCACCTGACCATACACAGGTACCAATACATACAAACCATCCACCTGACCATACACAGGTACCAATAATACAAACCATTCACCTGACCATACACAGGTACCAATACATACAAACCATCCACCTGACCATACACAGGTACCAATACATACAAACCATCCACCTGACCATACACAGGTACCAATACATACAAACCATCCACCTAACCATACACAGGTACCAATACATACAAACCATCCACCTGACCATATACAGGTACCAATACATACAAACCATCCACCTAACCATACACAGGTACCAATACATACAATCCATCCACCTGACCATACTGTAGACAAGCATCACATGTATACTTATTGAAGAAAAAAGAATCAGAATATTTGAAGCACCAAATGCTTGTTGAACTGTTCAAACTTTAGATTTACTTGAATTGTTATACTTCAATGGTCAGTTCGAGCTTTTATCGAGTTTTAAATCTCAGCCACACTCTCCAGGTAAAAAGTAAACAGTGAAAACCTTGAAGTTATTGATTAGTATTCTATGTACCGCAATGCTTCAGAATTTTTTTTGCAGAGAGAATTTTGACAGAAGCATGGGATTTATGGGTGAAAATGAATCTTACATAATATTGGCTTAGAAAAGAATATCTCAGAATATTGTAGCATGACCATTTCTGGGGCACCTAAATATGATACCAGTGTTGTGGAGGCGTTTTCAGCAAATGTGTTCAGTAAATGAGCATGGTATGATTCTGTCCATGAACAGGATGTTTGCATGTGACATCATAACCTAGAGAACAAAAAGTTCCAGATGTGTATGAAAATAATTGCAAGAGGCTAACATCCACTTGTAAAGTCCCGGCATCAGTCCAGTTTTGCGTCAACAGAGGTGAATGCTTAACATGGTGCAGGAGACATTTTGCAAATGAATTCATAACTTAAACAGCTAAAATAAAGTTTCTTTTCCCATTAGTATATCTAGCTGATAAATCATATGCCCTACTGATGACAGTACAACGTAACCTAGGTATGAGAATTTATTCTCAAGAACTCTAATCGTGTTGTGAATATGATGTGTTGATACCCATTAGAATATAAAGTGATGGAAAGCTTTTTCAGCCACAAGGCAATAAACTACGTACAACTGAAGTACGTTTAATGGAGAAGAAATGATACAGTATAGAAAAAGATACTGAGATGAAACTGCATCTTCTTCTATGTGATATAAAAGCTGAAGATCAGACAGTTACATTGACAAGGTGAAATACCCACACCTCAGTGTCAATTTATCTACTATCTCTTAGTAATAGGGCGATAAAACGGAGGTCCTAATGGGCGTTTATAAACATTAAAATTTAGCATTTTCTTCTATTGGAAAGACACTTAAAGCTATATTTTGTAAGATGTCTTTGACCTTGTCACTATGTATTTGTAACTTTTTCCCACAAGGTCTTTCAACTGAAAATTTTGAAACTGAAAAGAATGTTTACTTTAAAAAAGATTACCTGACATTATGGCTGATCTAGCAAAGACAGTTATTACATGAGAGCTGCTAACATACACATGTAATATCATCCAAGATACAAGAAACACACCACGTTATATTGAAGAAGTAGGATTAGCTAGATAATTATAACAGCATGACATACCTGGTTATTTGGTAAAGCTATACGAGACAGTGTTTCCATTATGGCACTTTCTTCTGACTTGTCGGAGATGCCATCAGGTATGTCCTTGTAGAGGTCAGCTACTACTTCATCGAAGTCTGTGGCCTTGTAAACACCACTGAAATATAACAGGTTTGTTATACTGTTAGTTACACCACTAAAAAACATGTTTCAGATTCTCACCTACCAGGACTGTTTCCTGTACACCAAACAAAGGGGAAGTAACCCATACAACCTACCAGGACTGTTTCCTGGACACTAAACAAGGAAGAAAACCAGTCATACAAAACATTTACATGTTCTCTATTTGGTAGAATGTCATTTTGTATGATCCGTGTTTAAGTCAAAATGTAGGTGGGTACCACCATTGTGACAGGAACCAGATATTGTTTCCTATATTGCTTTATGATTAAAATGAGACCTTTCTCACTTCTGTTCCAGCAAAATTGATGAGAATGTACCAAATTTCATAATCTGACACTCCTTTTTACTGGGTTATGTATCTTAATCCTTCTTTCTGTCAAACTGTCTTCATCAATATTTTACTCAACAGAAATTCCTGGTACATTGTATTATTATAATAACTAGGAAACTTCTGATGAGGATGAATGAGCTTACATCCAAAGAAAACATAGAAATGATTAACAATACAGCAGAACATTTACAATACACTCACAGAGAGATTTGTAATAGTATACCACAGAAATGTAATATGTATACCACAGAAATGTAATATGTATACCACAGAAATGTAATATGTATACCACAGAAATGTAATATGTATCTATGTACCACAGAAATGTAATATGTATCTAAGTACCACAGAAATGTAATATGTATACCACAGAAATGTTATATGTATCTAAGTACCACAGAAATGTAATATGTATACAACAGTAATGTAATATGTATCTAAGTACCACAGAAATGTAATATGTATCTAAGTACCACAGAAATGTAATATGTATCTAAGTACCACAGAAATGTAATATGTATACAACAGTAATGTAATATGTATCTAAGTACCACAGAAATGTAATATGTATCTAAGTACCACAGAAATGTAATATGTATACCACAGAAATGTAATATATATCTAGTACCACAGAAATGTAATATGTGTCTAACTACCACAGAAATGTAATATGTATACCACAGAAATGTAATATGTATCTAAGTACCACAGAAATGTAATATGTGTCTAAGTACCACAGAAATGTAATATGTATACCACAGAAATGTAATATGTGTCTAAGTACCACAGATGTGTAATATGTATCAAGTACCACAGAAATGTAATATGTATCTAAGTAACACAGAAATGTAATATGTATACCACAGAAATGTTATATGTGTCTAAGTACCACAGATGTGTAATATGTATCTAAGTACCACAGAAATGTAATATGTATCTAAGTACCACAGAAATGTAATATGTATACCACAGAAATGTTATATGTGTCTAAGTACCACAGATGTGTAATATGTATCTAAGTACCACAGAAATGTAATATGTATCTAAGTACCACAGAAATGTAATATGTGTCTAACTACCACAGAAATGTAATATGTATCAAGTACCACAGAAATGTAATATGTATCTAAGTAACACAGAAATGTAATATGTGTCTAAGTACCACAGAAATGTAATATGTATACCACAGAAATGTTATATGTATCTAAGTACCACAGAAATGTAATATGTATCTAAGTACCACAGAAATGTAATATGTATACCACAGAAATGTAATATGTGTCTAAGTATCACAGAAATGTAATATGTGTCTAAGTACCACAGAAATGTAATATGTATCTAAGTACCACAGAAATGTAATATGTATCTAAGTACCACAGAAATGTTATATGTATCTATGTAATATGTATACATGCTGTTTGTCTATTGACACTTCTATTCAATAGAAAGACTTAAATGCAGGTTGCATGATCTTGTCCCTCCCATGAGACCTAAACATTTAAGATTAATCTGAAGATTTCTTCACTTTCAAGCTCAAGGTATTGATTTTAAAAAATCCTGGTGCTTTTGTAGAGAAAGAAAACAGCTGTTATCTAAATGGATTCAGTGAGATTCACACTGGTGTGTGATATCAGACACCTTCAATTATTTAAAAGAAGAAATTGATACAAATTGATGCTGTACTCTCTTGTCTACAAATGTCTACAAGTGTCAGCATACATGATAGTTTATTCTTGGTAATGTAAGGTATTAATCCATAAGGTCAAATAATATCAATTAGATAAATGGAAATAAAATCCTGAGTTCCTCATATAAAAAAAAAGGAATTTATAAAAAAAAATTTTGGAAGACTGAATGTGCTGATTGTCTTCCAGTAATTTCATAGTTGATCCTTTAGGGTCAAAGTTTAAAAATATTTGACTTCTGTGACCTTGAACATTTTCAGTATCAATCAAGCATCCTATTTGTCCAGTACCATAGACACAGACCCACACTTACTAGGTGTACTTGTTACTCAGAGCCAGACTTACTAAGTATACTTGTCACACAGAGCCAGACTTGCTAAGTGTACTTGTCACACAGACCCAGACTTACTAGGTGTACTTTTTACTCAGAGCCAGACTTACTTGTTACTCAGACCCAGACTTACTAGGTGTACTTGTTACTCAGAGCCAGACTTACTAAGTATACTTGTCACACAGAGCCAGATTTACTAAGTGTACTTGTCACACAGACCCAGACTTACTAGGTGTACTTGTTACTCAGAGCCAGACTTACTAGGTGTACTTGTTACTCAGAGCCAGACTTACTTGTTACTCAGACCCAGACTTATTTGTTACTCAGAGCCAGACTTATTAGGTGTACTTGTCACACAGAGCCAGACTTACTAGGTGTACTTGTTACTCAGAGCCAGACTTAATAAGTGTACTTGTCACACAGAGCCAGACTTACTAAGTGTACTTGTCACAGAGCCAAACTTACTTACTATAGACCCAGTCTTCCTTCGATGACCCTCTATACCCACTTTGTAGATTCCTACTTACTCAGTATTGGCGCTCTTTGATGGACTCGTCTTTATGTTGTATTTGAAGGTGCCATCACCCCTCGGGGAGAGCATTCCCCCCTTATGGTGACCTTTGCCATAGATATTGGGTACCACAAGTGGCTTCCTGGCACACACCAGAGCATGAAATGACGTGACTGTGAAGATTCCCAATCTTCCTAATGTTGTCTTGGTAACCTTGGATGCACTGGCAAGGAGGACCTAGATGATGACAAGAAAGAGAAACAAGAGATTAGAAACCACAGAAGTGTACATCAATACCCCAAATCCCTACCCTCTACACCCTTTTGTGTCTTTTCTGGTCATCTCACACCACCTAATCAAACTCTGGTGCCACCAACACCTAAGCTTCGTCAGACATCACACCTATGTTTCAATAAACGAGCACCTTGTACTCATGTCTATCCAAATGATTTGCTGTACGTCAAAACTATATTGAGTTGTGAGAGTATAAAACACCTAGGTTATTGGTCACGATCCTTACAAAAGGTCTCTGCTATATATACAAGACCATTGTCTTTCCCTATAGGTTGTGGACAATCACCATTTATCAGCCAATATGTGATGATCAGATAAATGTAATTCGATGTGTAAGAAAGGAAGTTGTAATACCTGTATGGTGAAATCCTCCTTTCATTGAAGGATTAAATTTGAATAATTTTCGATGTTCTTGAGCCTTAACACAAGCATGAGTACACTGGATCAATAACATGAAACATAATCAAATTTAATCTAAGTAATTTTATCACAGCTAGATTGGAATATTTTTGACATTTGCACCAGGACTCTTTTCATTCATAACTTCTTACAAAGCTACATTGGCCAATCAAGTGTGACATTACAAAATCATATTAGTGTTTCTATGTTATAAGGTGATAATACTTAAAAAACAATCAGCTGATGAAAGTGTTTGTTTCCTAGAGGAATAGATCACATTAACAAACATCCCTAAAATAGCCAGAAATCTTAATTAATTTTGGAACAATACTGTTTATCTTATTTAAATCACGATGTGATAAAATGTAATATGATCCCATTGTACAGTGAATCTTGATTGCAGAGGGATGACGACATATCTGAAAGGTCAAACCAATCAGAATAACTTGATAGTAGTACCCCATCTGAACTATACATTGTTATAGTTCCTGTAATAGTCTTTATCCATCTGTTTCATATTTACTCTAATTCCAGCAAGATCTGTATAGATAGATTATTCTGATTAATTCTTCTACAAAAATGAGAAACAATTTCAAATCAACACAGAGGAAATACCATTGAATAGTTGGGTGTATCACCTGACTCATACCTTACATAACGGATACACATGAAACTACTCCTGGAAAATGGATATACACTTGGTCCTGACCCTTAAAGTACACCATCCAATAAAATGATATATGTCAAGTCTAGTGCCTAAAAATATAATACCTTTAAAAGTACATCATCCCATAAAAAACAATGCACTGAAGATGTAACACTCCTTAAAGTATATCAATCCATGCAATAATGCATTGAATATGTACCACTCCTTAAAGTACATAATTTCATGAAATACTACACTGAATAAGTACAACTCCTTAAAGTATATCATCCCATGAAATAGTACACTGAATATGTACCACTTCTTCAGATACATCATCCCTTGACATTATTTACACCAGCTATTTATTTTGTATATTATAGAGTACATCATCTATGAAATAATATCCAAATTGGCATCATCATGTAAAGTATTCCATCTTAATTATTAACTTAATTATTTAAGTCACTTTAATACAGGCATCTGTCAACTAATTATAAATTGTGAAATCCTTTGAATGGGTCCAATTGTCATATCAGATGGATTAACAGAGATGGACGTGGTCAGTTTCACTCACATCAGGTCCCCAAAGAGGATAAGTTGGAACTAGAGAGAGAATTTATTTAAAATTTCCATCACAGTATACAGTGAAATGACCGGAAATTAACACATATTCAAGTTTTATATCCAAAATTGAATATTAATCCAACTCAGTTCTCTTCCAATCAAATACTACATTAGTAAAATTAAAATAACACAAACACAGAATGACAGCTGAATAACTTAATCCATATTTCAACACAACTTCCTGTCAGTAATTCAGTCATCCACACATATTCTTTTTCAATTAAAGAAATGATGTATATCCTACCAGAGATAAAGTTCCATACAGAAAGAAGTAGGATTTTTCAACACTTTAAATGGTATCCTAGCGATGGCTGTGCGTTAGCTCGGGTGCTGTGTGTTCGCCAGCAGTTGTAGCCTGTGTGGAGCGAATCGATGGCAGAACTGCTCTTACTTCATACACACTGATCAATGTCTGGCGTTATCATTCATCTTAGTCAATTCAAATTAAGGGACATTTCAACCAGTTTACTTTATTGGTATCAATTCAGGGGAAAACAGCATTTCAAGCTTGGAGTATATGACAAGGGACAGAAGGACAAAGGCAGCACTAGTGTTCTGTATTGATGAGGAAATCACGGGTGGCATTACACAGCTGTTCCAGTTATTACACAGTGCACAGTTGATTACTCCCACGCTCAGCAAGTCACAACGTTAGTCTAGCAAGTCACCACTCTAATATGGGGAGTCCTTCATAATGACCGACTGTCATCTCAGACCCACTGACCAGTCTTAACTGACCAGCCGATAATATGATAGTATTGATCTACTAGGACTAAATCAGCGCCAGCATCATACATGAGAAGAAGGCAGGCAGTAAATAAATGTTTGGTAGATAATTTAGGAGCAAGCCTTAACAACACATAATCTAGAGGTGTACTAAATGGTGATAATGGAGGTAGGAGCTCAGTTGGAGGCAATAAAGACTTCTAAAACAGTTCAGTCTATAAATCTACAGCAGCATTCTGACAGATCAAATTAACAGCATACTACCTAAAGTTATATAACTTAACTGATAAAGCAAATTTCTAGTGCTAAAGTTTTACTTGTGAAATTTGTTATCCCACTAAGGGTAAAATGTAATATCATATCAGTAATCTTCTGTCAACCATTACTGTTATCACTGTCAACCATTGATGTAACTTCATGTCAACCATTGTTGTAAACCTCTGACAACCATTGATGTAACTTCATGTCAACCATTGATGTAAACCTCTTACAACCATTGATGTAAACCTTGGACAACCATTGATGTAAACCTTGGACAACCATTGATGTAAACCTCTTACAACCATTGATGTAAACCTTGGACAACCATTGATGTAAACCTCTTACAACCATTGATGTAAACCCCTGACAACCATTGATGTAAACCTCTTACAACCATTGATGTAAACCTCTTACAACCATTGATGTAAACCTCTGACAACCATTGATGTAAACCCCTGACAACCATTGTTGTAAACCTCTGACAACCATTGTTGTAAACCTCTGACAACCATTGTTGTAAACCTCTTACAACCATTGATGTAAACCTCTTACAACCATTGATGTAAACCTCTGACAACCATTGATGTAAACCTCTTACAACCATTGATGTAAACCTCTGACAACCATTGTTGTAAACCTCTGACAACCATTGATGTAAACCTCTTACAACCATTGATGTAAACCTCTGTCATCCTTAGCTGTCATCTATAGCAGTTATGCTGTCAACTTCACCATCCTGCAGTTAATCATTTTGTAAACCTCTATGAACCCTTGCCTTTTATGTAATTTTATCCTTTAAATCACTGACGCCTGCTTCAGATAGAAATGTCTCAGCCAATTCAAATCGAATTATTTTGCAAGAACAAATTATTGAAAAATGAAATTGTAATGATATCTGTATTTTTTTTACTTCATCTCAAAAATCATTTGTCTTGCTTATTTTTGCACTTTTGAGCCTCAAAGATTAAAGTAATTAACATCATTTCTATGGTATCAATAACCCCACAAGTTGTTCTATCCCTAATTTATCTGGTGATTGATTGGTGGTACTGTAAACACATGGAGGCACAATAACCTTAATTATCTTCTGTAAAAACACAGACAAAATAACCATGAATCTCTAATCGGCACATGTTCATTGATATCATTGCAATTATTCAATCTGACAATCACACAATATATAACCCACAGATCTTTATATATCCAGATTTGTGTTTGTTTTCTATTCACAGTATACAGTGATACAAGGGAACCGCATTATCCCACCTTCATTCCAAGCTAATGGAGGAGAAACAGTCCAGCTATTCTTGGAAAAGGTCAATTAAAATGGGAGACCTTTGTTTTAAAACCCTGGCTGACATTAGCTAGGTAGCTAGGGGTAGGAAAAATGTGATATTATAGTCATGCACTATGATAGGTGACAGAGAATTCTCTAGAAGTGGGAATCTTACATATGCTGTCAACTTTGGAATTATTTTAAATAAAACTGTTTCTTCATTAATCTATTTGATCTAGATATTCATTCCAAACATACCTGGTATCACCAGATAATTTCAAACAACATGTGACATTTTTAAGCCTGCTTTTTTGTTTCAATTTTTGAATTTAATTATTCAGCATAAATAATCATATATAATTACAACAAACTACAGTTTAAGTCAGGGAGAGATTGTAGGAGTGGCATATTTTTTTCACTTTTTGATACATATGCATGTAAATAAAGTGTACAAAGAAGTATAGAACTATTAACATATCAGGTTGTGAATACATTATATCAATTTACCCAGGTCTGACATCACAATTGCCTGATCATGGTGAGATAGAGCCCAAGGATAACCCTAAAGTTATTTTTATATGTAAGTAGTGTACTAGGGAGAACCCTAAAGTTATATGTAAGTAGTGTACTAGGGAGAACCCTAAAGTTATTTTCATATGTAAGTAGTATACTAGGGAGAACCCTAAAGTTGTTTTTATAAGTAAGTAGTGTACTAAGGAGAACCCTAAAGTTATATGTAAGTAGTATACTAGGGAGAACCCTAAAGTTATTTTTATATGTAAGTAGTGTACTAGGGAGAACCCTAAAGTTATATGTAAGTAGTGTACTAGGGAGAACCCTAAAGTTATTTTTATATGTAAGTAGTGTACTAGGGAGAACCCTAAAGTTATATGTAAGTAGTGTACTAGGGAGAACCCTAAAGTTATTTTTATATGTAAGTAGTGTACTAGGGAGAACCCTAAAGTTATATGTAAGTAGTGTACTAGGGAGAACCCTAAAGTTATTTTTATA